GGTTATTGCATTCAGCATTGTGGCGCAGAACGTACAGATCAACACGCTTGGCGACGTTGTCTACGTGAGAATGGAACTAGGTCTGCTAGGCATCGACAACCCCAACCCCAACACTGAAATTGCAGAGTCTCGAGTAAGTGTTTTCAGCCTGACCTGAAGGCTTGAGTAAACGTGCTGACCAATGACCTCACAGTTCATCGGCTTCGTCTCCAACAACCGTGCCACAATTTCTTTGTACGCGATGGACGTTGATCCCTGCACAGGCGCAACTACCGACCGCATCATTGCGTCCATGGAACTTCGCGGTGGCCGTAATGCCCAGAACAAGTTCGAATACCGCAACAACATCCTCTTCAGGTACACTCGAGAGTACCGTGTCACAGCAGAGATCGACGGGGTAGCCAAGACCCGCGTGACCAAGAACGGAATCACTGCCGGAACATACGTGCAGCCCGTTAGCGTTTGGGTACCCGGAGAGCAGAATGTGCCTGGCGTTCCGCCAGTGTCGTATGACTTCTCCCAGATGGAGTTCCTGACGAAGGGAGTTGGCTCTGACGATGATGGCAATGTTTGGGGTCCCCTCGAGCCCTTTCCCCAAACAGGGGTGCTCATCGAGCCTCCCGTCTGCGCCGCAGCTCGGGGCTTGGAGTTGGAGAAGCGAGGTCAAATTGGCCGGTGGTATGGCCGCGCTCGCGCAGATGCAATCTCTCAGGCCGAGAATGTTGACACTACCGAGGCCTTTGTCAACATTGCTCCTGAGGAGGCCGCAGCGATTGCGGAGAAGAAGGCCGAGGAGGAGGCTATCAACGGGTCACCTTGAATGCCTACTTCGGGATCTTTGAAGTTTGGTGTCCACGCAACCTTCGAGATTTGGAAACGGACCACTGTTACGTGTTCCAACTGTTCCTTCATTACATTCTACGGGTTCCTCTTGTTCAACGACATTCAACACACTTGTTTTCATTGTAGATAGTTCCCTTTGTCTTTGTAGTGTTTTGCTGCTGAATACACACACGAGTTTTCTTACAGTAGTCAATGGACAATGCAAAATGACACTGTCGGCCTGAGAGACAAAGTGGAGTAAAGCTTCTATTGTATTTTTTCAAGACTAAGTACATGTATGTGCATAACTAAGTGTCGAATGTGTTCAAAAGAATTGAGTGATATGTACAGTAGAAAGAAACTGGTGAGCGGCAGCTCCATCTTTGATCATTCATGAAAGATACATGTATTGCCCTACCTTGGTCCCACCGGAAATCGGGTGAGGTTTGTGCCTTTCAGATGACACTTCCCCACCATCAAGCAGGAGTGTTGACGGTAATGCTAGCCGATCCACTGCTGAAGTATCCTTCGGTGGCCACGATCATGTAGTTGTGGGTTCCGAGGTTGAGTCCGACTGACGCCCAGGCGGCAAAGTGGTTGCCAGTTGTAACAGTACCACCGGTACGCTTTGAGGTTCGCTATGTTGGATGTATCATTAGTCTGGGCTTTTCCACCACGACAAGTAGTTCAAGGAACTTCCAACGCATGCGACTTACGATGGACCAATACTGTTGGAATGTCTTAGTGCCCTCGATGCTGGGCTGGTTGACGCGGGTGCTGACGTAGATGTCATAAGTACCGCCGTCACTAGTGACGGAACCCTTCTTCGTAGCAGCGGAAGCTGGGTTGTAGGTGCCATAGTTCTCGACGATGTAGTACTCAATCAGAGGGTTCTGAGTCCAGCCGTAAACAGCCAGGTACTGGAAAAGAGGTCATCTATGAGATACACATTTTCAATTCTCCATCTTATGTCGTGTTCACTTACGCTGTTTCCGTTCGGACTGTATGTGCCAGAGTAGTTGATGGTTCTGAAAAAGGTCAACTGATTAGAGACGTATGTTCGTTGTGCAAATGGACATGGACTTACTTGGAACCTCCCGGGTTCCAGCCCTTGCCTCCAACGAAATTTCCGCCGCCACCTCCCCAATTGACGCTGTACGAGCCGCCAGCACCGTTGGTATAAGTGACTTGAGACCCTCCGTCAGTCCACCACGAGTAGTAGTATCCGTTGTGGTATCCAGTCGAGCTTGGAGTGGATTGGCGCTTCTCGATCAGTTCTCCGGTAGGACTGGCAATGACCCCAATAATCGTCGCCAAAGTGACGAGTGCTCTGGAGAAAGAAACCATTGTAGCAGCTGCGTAAGTGGTTGATCGCTGTGGTCTGTTATGTTCTGACTGTTCAAGGGAGTTCTATTGTTGGCTAACGGATTTATGCCGCTTTTATAGTGTGAACTATAATACCATAATCATCTTACTAGACAGGAAGACCTGAACGAAATGAGGCTAAACGTATCTGACAGCAACCACATCGATACTTCCTACACCCAATGACTACATCGCGGTTGTTGGAGAAGATGTCGACATGATTGGATGATTACAGGACTGTCCGCGTGACAAGTTCGGCGTTACGCGGCAGTTGCCTTCCAAGTTTGGTACACTAAGCACTTGGGACCTTGGCACCGGGAGATGGAACTCAGGCTGAATCTGACCTTTTGGTGTGTCGGCCGATGAAATCTGGGGTACAGCGGCACTGCAATCTCTGGAATAAATATCGATAGTAAAGATCTGCAAGCCGTCCCGCTCTTGCAGCGGCAAACATTTTGCCTCGACATTTTACCCGTCGTCTAGGCCCAAAGGGTTCACAATCACATCGGAGGGCGAGCTTGGCCTCCGGGTACCAGATCTGGCATCGGTTAACCGGAACAGAAGCTATCACCATTCAACTAACACGTTTGGTGACTTTGCTTGAAAAAGTGACGCATTTTGCGGGTAATGGCGAAAACAGCCAGCTCAATTGTACGAAAGCAGGGAAACCCGTTGCGACTACTGTTTACTTGAAGTTGACCCAAGAACGTGCAAAGTAAGCGGCGAGGTACAAATGTCTTCCGATAGGTTAAGATGACACAGCAAGGTCATAAGAAGCGCGCTTGGACAAATTGCTTGTATAAAAGTACCTGTAGTGTCGGGATAGAGTCGATGCACATTTAAACAGGTAGACAAAGTGCACCGTCTCTCGCATAACTTGAAAGGCTTGTCAACGGTTGGGCTTGGCAGAAAGCTACACGTACCTGGCGACCATGAAATTCGATATCACGATGCGATTCAGAAGGTCGTTGCTGCACGTGACTGAGTTGTCTGTAATTGATCTTCCTGCAACGCCAAGGTGAACGACACTGGGGTTGGCTGAGGCGAATTGCTTCTGCTTGTGCAAATCTAAGGTGCCAAGGTGCATCACCTGGGCCGGTGGGTCGAGTTGAGTTTGGCGAATATTCAGTCTATTCCTGACGCCAAGAGAGCGAAGTCTAAGAACTCATCAGGCTAAAATTGCTAAAATTGCTTTGCCAAGAAATTTTACCTCATCTGAAATTGTGAATCAACTCGACGATTGGAGAACTGAGCATTTCTGTGGCCTAGAATAATTCTCCTGATCATGACTAGGATGTGGAAACATGGTCCTATCCACGGCAAAACTTGCTGCGGACCTGATACAGGCACAGGTTCAGGAGCTGGGGTCTAACAAGGATAGTCACATCCTCTACCGAGAGCGACGATCTCGCAGTCTGCACTCTGTAACAGCAATAGCGCGACAGAGTAAGATCAGGTGGTATTGGAGGGCTGTGGCTGTGCGGCCTCAGCTCCTGAATCTCACCCAGAATCATCCCAAAGTTGGCGCAAGTCAACTTGAGCTGGAATGAGGGCGTTAATGACACGTCCTTAAGACAGGTTTGGACGATTAACTTTGGGCGAGAGGGCCATATCTGGGGGAACCCGAGGACTACGCCGCGGAAATAGAATTCAGCGAGGTCAATGATTCAACCATTGAGGTGGCCGTTTATGATTATTTTTATTCGCCCAAGAAATCCGAACATCATTCGAGTCAGTCCGTGACAAATGGCTGAAGATCGCCACAAAGTCGGTGGCCGGCGGCCCCGATCCCTCTGAGCAAGGTGCCAGAGACAGCCCCAGGCCTGCCATCAACCGGAGAATAATGCACAATTCTGGGGGAGCCCATTTTTCTGTTCTGCTCTTGGCGAATACAAGAGTCTGCTCCTAGAACATCGCGCGTTTGAAGAAGGCCTCGCTTCCGGAATCCCTGACCACCAAGAGGTCAGAGGTCACCCCAAAACAAGCGTCATTTCTAATACGGGAAGGCAGCAAACTTAAAGTAGGGTTCCCACGTTATCCCAACAATTGGCTCTTGTCAAGAGAGACCGGGCCTCTTTCAAAATCATGCACGGCGAAACCCAGAAGTGCGGGGGTTCGCGTTTGGCAGAACAAGCTTGAATCTGGTCTCGAGGCCCTCCAGCGGCCCTAGGCAACGACACTGTGGGAAAAATCTGGTCCCATGTGCGGTCCAATTGTAGCCCGAGTTGCATGAACTTTAAAGCTTGAAACGGCGATGCGGACGGTTTTTGCGACAGGATTGGCGAAGGGGAGCCCGACCTAACCGACTTTGAGGTGTGCCGAAGAGCCGGGGCTACCCTGGTCTGCGGCACAATAAGCCTCGTTTGAGCTGCTGATGTGACGGGATGATCAGGCATCTGAACAGGTCTTGTTGCAGGATGAGGCTCATGGCTGTCATCTCGAGTCAAAGAAACTCATCTGGAGTTGTTGCTCAACGTAGTGGTGCACTGGTGCTCAGGTGACGCCGCCATCCGGAGTTTCAGGGTGTGACAGCAAAGTCTGTATGTAAGCATTGAGCATGTGGTGGTGGCATACCAGCGAGTGCTGCAGCTGGACAAACTTAAGAACATGAAGAGGATCTCTGTTTCCACCAGGATTTTTCTCTTCTTACTTGCGCGTCTGTCTGGCTATCTCCGTTCTACTTCTTACTATTACGTTCATTCCGTGCTGTGCGCGGCTCTTTTTAATTGAGCTATCATTCACTAAGACCTGGTGTCACCTACACGAATAATACTACTCACTCTCACGAAGTATTTATATAAACTTCAGTCAACATGAAGTTCTCAACTGCCGCTTTCTTCGCCATCGGCCTCTTTGCTGGCAACGTCATTTCTGGTAAGTGTTCCCTTTCCAAGGTTCCATTCGAGTTAGTCTGGTGTACTAACATGTATCTCTAGCCCCCGCAGTCCAAGGAAACGATGTCGCCCTTCCCATCGAAGTCCGTGCTGAGGACTTTGTCGCAAACGACGCCGCCCACCTCGAGGCCCGAGCGAAGAAGAAGAGGGCTGCTGGAGCTGCTGCCAAGAAGAACAATGGCGCTGCCGCTGCCAAGGCGAACGCCGCCAACGCCGCTGCCGCCAAGAAGAAGAACGCCAATGCCGCGAAGAAGAACGCAAACGCAAAGAATAATGCCAACGCAGGAAACAATGCCAATGCGGGCAACAACGCCAACGCCGGCAACGCCAATGCTGCCAAGGGCAAGGGCAAGTCCCAAGCTGAGTTCTCTGGCTTGGCTTGCACCGATGGAAAGGGAGCTGGTGCTTGCAACGCCAACGGCCAATGTGCCGTCAACGGCAAGACAGCTGCCATCGCCGGACAGTGTGGTGTCGCAGCAAAGAAGGCCAACAAGCGCTACGCCTCGGATGTTACCCACCTCATTTGAAGAAGTGGTCGTCGATGAGGTTTCAAATTCGCGTAGGATTGGGCGGCGTGGACTTCGTGGATATGACGTTTATGAAAAAAGAAAAGGGGGTGGTGGCCATTCTAGCTTTGCCGACTCCATGTATAATGAAAATTGATCGAGTCTCAAGCTCAAACAGCCTCCCCATTCAAGTAACAACTTCTGATCAAGTTTAAAGGTCGCGATTGGACGAGTGAGGCAGTCCCAGCGATAGTCATGGATACAGCTCATCTAGTCTTCTTCGCCTCAAGTAATTTAAGGCATAGAAGCTGCTAGGCACATGGCGCCTGTATTTCGCTGCATTAGGTTGTCCAGCAACTCAGCGATACTCTTAGGTAACACAATAGAACGAATTAACGTTATGATTTGGTATTCTAATTGCTCAAGGACATGACAATTACGATACAATAAGGAAGTAAAGAACAAATAGAAGAACTTAACTGTCTCCAGCTGGCTGCATGTATGCTATCATCATGGCATGCATTTTCAACCCCTATTCCTTGCTAAGTCTTCCTACTAATTTGCTGCTAGAGCGAAGAGAGTGCCTGTCTCTGGCCTTGACTTCGCAGTAACTTGCCGGGCGTACTGTCCAATGTATGACTGGTCGCCATATCCGCGGTAATCGGCATCCAAAGGGACAACGAGTTCCTCGCAGACGAACTTTCTGGCAGCCTCGATTGCGATGCGAGTGGGATGAGTTGCCGCCATTGCCATTGGTGTTTCGGAACATTGGCATCCTTTATCAAAATGTTGCAGATCCAGAACCCCTGCGTCGATCAACTCCTGCCAGAATTTGACATCTCTGTCACGCTGGACCCGCAGTTCCCCGTCGTCTGCATCAATCTCCGACGTAGTTGATTGTTTCGAGTTGATTCGTTGACTGTGGAGTTGCTGCTTGTCTCTGCTTTCCAGGACTGTTCCGATGATCAAGAGCCACCTGACGTCGTTGCACTTGAAGTGCCCCCTAACTAGAGCAAGTACGGCGCCGACATGCCGGCTCTTAGCGGCTGCGATCATCGGCATGAGACCACGGAGGTGACTGAGACGGTGGTATGGGTTCAACCAGTAGTGAGGTTTTACGTTGTTCCTAAGTCCGTAGGGGCCGACTCCTTTGGAAAGCAAGTTGCGGATAGTTTCCTCATCTCCGCGACTAGCAGCGTGCTCGACGACTGACCTGGCGGGACGACAGTCATCTGATGTCGACTGAACCGAAGGATCGAACCCCCATTTTCTTTTCCAGCTATCGGTAAAAGTCAGCTGCAAGAGAGTGAGGTGTGCGTGCGAGCACGTTGAACACCCCAGGATGGCCATGGTCGATGGCCTCCTCGAGGCACATGTCTATGACCTGTTTCAACCTGTCATTCCTCCTGTGAATCTTGTAGTAAGTGCTTAGGGTCGCCGCTTCCTTGTCCGGAGGCATTTGATTATCCACTAGCAATTGAAGTAATTCTGGGCGTGGTACACACATAGTCTCCAGAAGAATTTTGCCCAGAGCCTTGGATGGTATTCTTCGGTCTGCGGCATCCAAAAGTGCGCTTAGGGTCTCCATGTCGTCAAAAGCCACGGCTAGCCTCCAGAAGTGAACATCGTAGAACCTGACGTCCTCCATCTTCTTTCCTTGGACCGTCTTCGTGATCTTTGCGCGCGAGATGTTGATATCATAATTAATCAGAAGGAAAGCAAGATTCGAACTGCGGCTTCTGATCGCAGCTTCCATGACCGATCCCATTAGTGAAGGAACATCGTGTTGCCCAGCCCGCGACGTGGCCGTTCCGATATATGACAGCGATTTGGGGCCATTTCTCAGGATTTGTGATAGCACAAATCGTTCGGAGTCTTCTGATTGTAAGTAGACTTTTGCCAGAAATACTAAATCTTTGAATGGCTCATCTGTGATGACGGAATCCAAAGGAAACAGCAGCCTCTGAAAATGGTTACCGAAGAGATTCCAAATTCCGTAGCTTTTGACTGGATCTGGAAGGTGGACAGCGTGCTGGCAGAGACGGTGGACACGTCTGTATCGCTCCCCGCCGTCAAGATCGAAGCCATCAACCGACATTGTCCGATCTGTGATGGCGTTGATCACCGTGGCTAAGCTTGTGTTCCAGGGCAAGTGACGATGTGACTGGATCATGAGGTACTTTGCCAAGAATGAACTCGCATTACCCCGGTGCTGCGCACGACAACGGCGTGATGTCATGTGCGAGTGGCCTCGCTGAGCGAGAATGCCGACTTCTGCATTGTGCTTCATCTTGTGAAGAAGTTTGGTAGTGTATATCGCTCTCATGACTTCGATCTCAAACAGCTCTGATGCTAAATTAGCCCTACTGAGCAGATACTGAAAGCTTGCAAGTCGTCAAATCGGTGTTTGAAATATGAAGATACTCACTTGAGACAAGAAGGAGGCGGGCTGCATCCCTCAAATTTGAGTCGCTCTGCGCTTCGTACTCAACAATATGTTCGAAGATAAGCTGAAGGCATTCCAGGGGCAAGTCTATAAGGCACACTAAGTTCGTGGCATGGTCCAGACGGACTCGTTCTTCGTCTGTCTGAGCCATGAGGGAGGCCGCGACTCTCAAACAATCTGTTAACTCCGGTCTTTCGATGTGTGTGGTGGAAGAGAGTTCCAGTTTGCCTCAGTAATATAAAATAGGAAAGTGATTATTTGAATATGGCGCATGAAGAAATACTTCCGAGAGACCGTGAGTGCAAATATCAACCAAATCCAGTTTCGCATCCAGCTGGGAGGCTTATCAAGTATCGCATGAGTGGTAAAGCAGTTGCAAGCCGCAACCCCCTGTCAACACAATACCAGACATGATTGGCTCAATCCAACCTCCAATAGGGTCTCCACTGAGGCCAATTTACTTTTGAGGCCATTCCCACCGGACACACTGCGCCGCAATCATTCTCATCGGTCAATCTTACCTGGCGGTCCCGAATTCAAAAATTTCCAAGAAATTTCAAGGAGACTGGATCGAACTTCGATGCACACTTCCAAATGCAATTTGCCAAGTGCGCTTCTCTATGTTTAGTTTCATGCTTTCCCAAATTCTTCTAACCTTTCTAACTGTTGGTATCACAGGCGTGATACATTTCCTCATGAGGTGTATCTTCGGCAACAATCACGTCGATGTCCGTGATAATTGCTGTTGTTGTTCCTATTTACATTGTGGGCAGGGGCCGATCGAAGTAGGTGGGGACGGCCTGGATGGTTGCCCCACCTTAACCGGCCGTGATGACTAAGCCGGTTGTCCCACTTCGCCCAGGGCAGGCGTCAGCCAGCCCACGATACCTGCCCATTGCTCCTTATCAGCCTTGCTGTTCCGACACTAAACATGCTTGAGCGTAATCCTAAAAAACAAACCGTCTCATTGCAGCTGGAACCCTTTCTTCAATGCCATACCAAATCGCTTCACCGCCTCCTCAATTTGGTCCAGAGGTGCGGCAGCGAACGTGGTCCTGTAGAAAACTTCGTTCAATGGGATGTGCTTATTAGCGTTGAACCAACTGCCCCTAGCAATGAGCGCGCCTTGGGCCAGTGCTTCTTGCCATATCTCCTCTTCTATTTCACTCGGAGACTTCTTCGAGGCGTCGGGGTGCTTTTGCCAGTCCACGCCCAGCCATTGCTAAAATTGTTAGTAGATGAACGTTCCAGCAGCCCACCATGCAGACAAAGAAAGAGTTACTCACAAACATGCCCGCTCGTGCAGGCTCCCATGTGACGATTTCTCGGGGTAAGTGCCGTTCGCAAGCTCGTACCATAAAGTCCCGACGCTCAGTATACTCTCTCTGCGAATGTGCAGCAACCACTCAAGTAATCTGGCGTGCCCCCAGAACTCATCCAAGAGCTTGAAGAATGCGAGTTGGCTGAATCCACTGGGTCCCTGCGTCGATACATCTGCATGAGTTTTGTATTGCTCGACGACTTTCTGGGGAGCGGTGATTCAGCCAATTCGAGATCCAGGGCTGACGACCTTGCTGAAGGAATCTATGCGCATGACACGCCCGTCTATATCGAGGCCGAGGTATGTTGGAACGATTGTCTTGAGTAATTCTGCTGGCGATTGAGGGGTCGTAGAAGATCCTTCGAGATCTATGGATGGGCTGTAGGGGTCCATTTGAAGCCAGTAGTAGGGATCGTCTTCCAAGATAATCAAATCGTGCTTCTGTGCCACGCGGTAGATGTTCCTACGACGCTGGAGACTTTGGGTCGCGCCGGTAGGGTTGTGGCCTGTTGGAACGAGATACAATAGGAATGGCTTCGTTGCGTTGTCGTGTTCCGCTGGGTTCCATGTCTCCAAGACTTGGAGTAGGCTCTCTGGCAACAAGCCTTCTCCGTCCATGTCAACACGAAGGAACTTGACACCCATCGGCTTCGCAGTTTCGACTGCCGTCGAGTATGTGAACTTCTCTGACAGCACATAGTCTCCAGACTTTGCGAGCATGCGGAGAGCCATATCTAATGCTGAGGTATTGCCAATCGTCATGGCGCATCCCCAATCAGCATAAGGGGGGTTGTGAACCATCTCGGTGTGTTCAATGATCCATCGCAGGAGTTGGGGAGACCCACTACCTTGACCGTAGTTCAGCGCTACAGAGATGTCGAACACGCTTCGACCATCCGCAAGGTCTGTTTTGCTTGATCGAAAGCGTGCATCGTCAACAGAGGAGGATTTTGTTGTAGAATTAGACTTTGAGCTGCTCGGCACGAATGACGGCGTAAATGAGAGGGTCTCGAAGGGGAGGAACTCGCTGAGGGGAATGCCGCCGCCGAGAGAGATGACATCCGGGTTCTGTAGGTGCTTAAAAGCTGCCTTCAGCGAGGATCCTGTTCTCGTTGTCGATTCCCTGGTCATATGTTCTGGTAAGTATGGCGAGGTTGGTTAGTTCTACCGTATTACTGTCCAAGATGTCGGACTAGGCGGAAATACTCACGACTCCAGTCCTTGGCTAGGGGTTTATGCTTGTCTGTTCTGGTCTTGAAGTCTTCGGTGGTACATTGAGCTGCGACGCCCCATTTGCTGGTCGGGACCGTGCGCCGAGCCGGCTTCAACACGGGATCGGTAATAGCGTCTGGGATGGAGGCATGGTTGGAGCTGATGTATTCGCCCATGTTTATCATATAAGGATACTGAAACCGAGTCACAATGGTATTCGATGATGCTGTGAGCTAAGGTTTTGTAGACGTCAAGACGGCTAAAGCAATCACTTATACAACGGCCTTCCGTACATTTACGTTGTCAATCTGCATGGAAACCATTCCAGTGGCGTTTGACTCATGTCATCGGAGAGAGGGGCAGATAGAGATAGGAGTAAACCTAGCTTCAACGGATTCACAGCCCAATTCTCAGCAAGGATTGGCACCAGTTGATGTCTCACTTGTGGATAGCTAAAATGACATTCGCGCCTTTCCTCGCCGTCTATGGACTAATCCGCGCACTCTACTGCTCCTTATCGAAAACGTTCCTGTCAAGGGCGCCCTAGGAGTCCAAGACGGTGGGGGGAACAAGACAAGAATGGTACTACGGCATGATATCGGAGTGATGTGGGGCTCGGAGTTCCAAACTCAATTGCCAACACGAGTGTTGTCGTAGTCAAAAAGAGACCAGGTTCGCTGACAAACTTCACTCCGAGTATCGCACGCCAAAACCATTGCACAGTTAGCAACAAGCAACTTCTGTATCTCTGTTTATTTTGCGCACATATCGGACCGAAAAGCACGATGAACGTAAGACTTGCCGCCTGTGAGCCCTGTCGGCGTTCGAAGTTGGTACGTGGCCACGAAAGACCTGTCTGCACACGGTGCACTGGCCGCGGGCAGCGGAGCCACTGCGTTTACAGATCTCGGCCCTTTCGGAGAAGAGCAACAAAAGCGCAAGTCGATGAAACTGAGTAAGGCTTCAGTAACCAATACAGAGTCCTGATGGCCGTGCCTGACCCGCACTTAGTCTATCCCTCATAAGTCCCATATCAGTTGGGCCGACGGAGACTATTGCCACGACGCCCTCATCGGCACCTCAGTCTCCAGCCGATACCCTAACACCGATCGCCGGGACACCGATCGCTTCGACACAACCATATTGATACCCCAACCCCGGATTCCTCGGAGTCTCGAGCCACTCTACGATCTTCAGCCATGTCTTCTCCGGTGACGGGCATGGTGCTGCCTCCGATGCAGACTTGACTCAGCAGTCTAGCTTGGCGTCGCCAATCGATCTAGTAGGCAACCAGGTTGTCATGGACAAGGCGATGCATGCACTATCGCGTCTAGAGAAGATGGACATCTCCAGAGTCACGCCTCTTGTGTGTTCTTGGCTCGGAAGAGGTGTGAACTTGCCTTTGGCTGGGCCTGTTGTCATTGAGTGCTTATACTCTATGGAAAATTGGAGGAAGGTGCTTACTCCGACGAGCAATAATTCTAGGGAGGGCGATGGCTGCGGCTCCGGAATCACAAGTGCTGGCTACGTGGCAGCTCTATTGACCAACACACTACGACCTATCGCCTTGAGTTCTGAACTAACCAAACAGGAGTTCCTAGCTCAGATGGGTGGATCAAACTTGAGGTGGGAGACGTTGGTTATCTTCTTCGTCGCTGCAGCCAGGGCAGCTTACGACACCTCCTACTTCCCGCCACTGTATACAACAAGTGAACAACGGCGAAGACTGATGCAGGCACTAACTTACATCGGTGACTACTGCTTAGAAACAAGTCTGTCCCTCGATTGTTTAAATGATCTGCAGTTGATCCTCCAGTATGAAAACTTCATCGTGCATTCTCATCTGGACGGAGATCAGAGTAAGTGGTTTACAGCCCCTCAATTAGACTCTCGTAGAATGCTGCTGATATTGCTCACACTAAGGTTACCATTCATGGAGACGAATTGGGGATCTTGCAAGTTTTCTCTTCGCGTTGGGTTACCATGAGAAGATCGAGAGGTGCAATCCGAATGTCCCACCTTTCGTCATTGAGCTGCGAAAGGCTTGCTTTTCTCGAATCTACACTGCCGACAAGGGCTTAGCTGTATTTCTTGGACGACCTCCAATAATAGTGAAGGACTACTGTCATTTCCAAATACCAAAGGTACACGATGGGTGGATTGAAGAAGAGGCCGGCGACGTACGGATTGCACAATCAGAGCCCATCAACTACAACACCGATGCGCGTTGCGTAGCCCGCTTCTCATTTCTTAAGCAAGAGGTGCTTCAACTTCTGAGAAGAAAGAATATGACAAATGTCACAAGAAATATCAGGTTTGCATTCCGCCCTAGAGTTAGGTTATGGTTGAGTTGGTGACACTGATCGTACTAGTGACTTTCGTCACAAGGTTGAAGCGCTATGGCAAGATTTGCCGAGTCATTTCAGGCTCAATTCGAGTCTCCGAGATTGTCAACAAAGTCCCTTCGAACGAGACTTCTTGGCCCATATCAGGCTAGATTATCTGCATAACTTGTTCCTTTTGGGGCTCGTTTCACAACAACCTATCTCCGAGCCTAATGACGAGCTGCTGAAGGTTGCGATAGAAATGCTTTCGATCGTGGTTGAGGTTATTCCACTGCGCGACCAGCTGGTCAACTCGGGCACGTGTCTGATTTGGAAAGTTGCGCAATACGGACTCCCCGCTGCCGGGGTCATCTCGCTGGCGTTGTTGAAGGCTAATGCGGAGTCGGACGTGTTTCTGCACTCAAGATCCAAGATGATCCAAGACCTCTGTCGGATTGGAAGCCCAATTCGACCGTGAGTAAGGGTAGAGCAGGGGCCACCTCGAGAAGGTACAATTACACCTCGACGGTCCACCCAACCTCCGGTTGGAATCTTCCTTCTACTCCTTACGCAGAATCAATCAATACAGAGATATTGATACTTCGTCACCCCCAGGACCCTACGGTTCGAACCAACTTCCCTGTGATAGAGATACCAACACCTCAGTGTTTTGGTCGCCGAGACTAGAACCGGAGCTTGGATCCAGGCCGGCGAACCGAATTTTGCGTTATTCACCCGAGAAACTGGGACAATACAGACAATGCTTGACTCTTTGCTCGCTTTGAGGTCATCTGCGGAAGAAGCTCAGACGACAAATGATGCCCCTCTTGAAGTGTGGGAACCTTATTCCAATCACGAGCTTTGGGACTTTGAAATGGAGTTCTGGTCTAATCTCGCAGAGCACCCTACTCTGCTTTCTTAATGGACCCAGTTAGGTTGGGAGAGTAAGTCAAAGTTCTTACTTGACATGGATAGATTGTACTACAAGATTCGATACGGTAATCCAAATATGATCCAACAGAACCACATTTGAAGTTGAAACTTTGCCTACCAGTAGGTGTGCTGCCTTCATGGCTTGATGCGCTCTCCATTTTCCTTGAGCATCTTCTCTCCTAAGGTACTCCGTATGGATACTAAAATACTTGTAATGAGTATCTCAATCCGCCCAAATTAGTTCATTGAGGGAAGGGTATCAGCCCTACGTAGTACCCATAACTACTTTGAGAATGCGAAGTCTTGCGATGCGCTATGTGTATGGGCAACCTCCCAGTACATGGATGCAGCGGGCGCCAATAGCAATGTCAGCCCTTGCTAATTGATCGAATCATCCGAGCCATCCATGAGCCTGAACAGCCCGGAACGATGGTCGGTCCCGACTTTTTAGACAAGCAACTTGCTGTCATAGGCGAACTGCGTCAATGGGCTACTTTCTGTGAAGACAGGCTCTGAATAGATACAACCCATGTACTTCAGCGTGGCTGCACTGGTTGAATCCACCTTTTCCCCCTCTTCCTACTAGTGTTTGAAAGGCCTGTATCAAATGAGACCCATGTCGACCTCACTCTGGACATGATTGGTGTTTAGGTGGAGAAAGATGGATGCATATGGCCCTCGACAATCATTTGGGGCCAGGCTGTCCATATTCCCGGATCCTACAAGTGAAAGACTGTCCAGTCATCAATGCCGAATGATGTCAATGATCTCTAGAACCCAGAGGAACAGCACGATTTGGCTGAAGACTCTCAAGGGCAATGACGTCGTACATTGTCACTGCTTCTTGTCAGGATTCGGCGATTGCAACGTAGCATCTGTAGTAGTTGACATGGACCTTACAGGACCTGGTCAGACTCGAAGGTTGAAAGAAATACCATGTCCATCCAACTTCAAAAGAACCGAAGATCGATAAGAAGAGTAATCAATGCAGATTCTTTAAGTTACCAGCCAAGACAGGAGCATTCCATTTTCGGTACTCTTCACGTCAACGTGGCAGAGACAACCGAATGTGACCACCAATTCAATATTTTGTGACCTGTCGATGCATGTCGCTCCACACCATGTCCACTAGCGGAGTCTCATGGTACGCAATAGTAGAGAGATTATCATTATCAATGAGGGGCTACCCGTTGCTCCGTGGGAATAAAATCTCGTGGTGTTTTGACATGAACCTCAACACTGTTTCCAACTCCATAGGTCAAGACGTTGTTAGTAATTACCACCATGGCTAGTATCTTCTTGTGAGTGACTCCCATCCTAACTACATGCAGTTTTCGGAGTGATCAGTGTGGCTCAATTGGTATCTGCAGTGTCGGCGGTACTGGCCATATTGGTGGTGCTGTGTTGGACCAGCTTGTCCACAAGCATGCGAACGCAAGAGTGAAAGTCTTGGTCCGAGACGAGGCCAAGGCCGCACGCCTGACCAAGGTCTACCCGCAGATTGAGACTGTCATTGGTGACGCCGGAGACTTTGAGATTCTTGAAAAGTGCAGTCAGGTGGCCGACATCGTCATCAACACGGCACCGGATATCACACACGACGAGGGAATCAATGCAATTCTTACCGGCCTGAAAGCGCGCGGGGCATCCAGTGGCACCAAGCCTTACTACATTCACACTTCGGGAGCTTCTCTTCTCTGGGACGAGCCCGCTGGCTCCAAGGACGCTCGACGATGGGACGATATCGCCGACATTGGGGATATTTGCGCTTTCAAGGGCGAAGCCCACACGCATGCGGTCACCGATAAGATCGTGCGTGATGCAGCTACACAGGTTAATGTGGCCATCGTATCGCCTGGTCTCGTTGGTGGCATGAGTCCCTCTATTGAGCACCCGACCCCGATCACGACGCCTGCCCTCCTGCTCACTGCCCGTGCTTTCAAGTCAGGCTGGCAGATCGCCGAGGGAGAAAACACCCACGCTTGGATTCACGTCTCGGATCTCGCAAAAATGTATTTGATCCTCGTCGGAAAGGCTCTTGACGGCGCCTCTGACTCTGAACCCTTCTCCATCTGGGGACCAGAGGCTTACTACTTTGGCACGGGCGAGGATATCTCGTTCGGAGAGTTCATGAAGCATCTTGCCCCTGTTCTCAAGGATCAAAAGATCATTGAGGGCACTGAGATCAATTCAGTCAGCGTGGCTGAGGCAGCGAGGGCCAGCATTGCTGGTAGCGACTACGACCCTGATGCTCCGCCGCCGCCGCCCGACACTTGGGCTACGCACATTGCCATCATGTACGGCATCAACATGCGTATTGAGGCGTCTAGAATGGCGAAGCTTGGGTGGAAAGCAGAGAAGGGATCTATAATGGAAAGCTTCCCGCAAATAGTGGCCGGGTTGCTTGCGCGGGAGTAGTCGATTAGAGACAAACAACTCATGTCTTTACTGATAGTTACTTGTTAAACGCCGATGTTATTCTTATATCGACCCGATTAAATTTGAACGGAGACGCGCGAAAATCTGCAATCACCACAGGCCAGAAAGACGAAAGTCCGTGTCCATGTAGTGACCTGGAGTTTGGGGCTTCAATATTTCTGGTCCTTCCATAAGATGGCAGTGAGCAGCTGTACGACACTTCGGACACCCATCGTAACCGAGGTCAACACTAGCAATTTTCATCTCACAAGGTATACCGATAAGCAGGGTGTCGATGTCCAAGAAGGTGAACCTTGTTCCCTCGCAGTCGTTCATCTCGATCTCCTCGCTCGCGCTTCGAATTTTCCCATCGACAATAGAGCATCTGCAGACACATCTTAACACAGCAGAGGACTAAGGAATCTACGCAGACTGAGTGACCCAGAACATAATCCGGACTAGTATGGGATACGTCAGTTCGTGTTCATGCGATGAGGTCTCGTTGCTTATGACTTACGCGTCTTTCTGCAAATAGATGAATGTAGCTGGAAAGGCAGAGGTGTTTGCCAAGCCAATCAACAACCCAACTCCAGTGGCGCGGACGTAGTGAGGCGCCAAATTGTTGGATAGTCATCCCTGACCTGGTCAGCAGTCTCCCCAGCTGTTTTCACATAGTCCTCGAGCTTCTTGGTAACATACCATGATCATCGCACTTCCAGGGAAAACTCCTGTCGCAATGAGGAACGTACCCCCGTAGCGAACATTGCTTGATTTCGAGGCAAGAATCATGGTATATCCGCACAAAGCTACCATACTCCCAACGGCCATAATCGGACCTCGTGCCTTGATCTTGTCAGAAAGTGCAGACGTGGCTAGCACGACAAGAAAAGCGGCGATATTGGGTGGGACGGTGAGAAGCTGGATCTGAGTGGTGTTGCGATATCCGAGGCCCTGGATGATCGACGGCAGAAATAGCGAGAAGCTCTGTCCATTGGGTAAGAGAAGTTAATCAGTGCAATACTTCTGAAGACACAATAACTGTAGGACAATACTCAAACGTACGTAAAGTGGGATGAGAAGAAATATCCATGCTAAAGTGCAGAAACATGTCTGCGGCGCGAGCACCGCCATTTTCACCCAGTGCCAGCTAAAGTGCTCATCGTTGACATCTTCGACATCCGTAGCCCCATGCTAATCTTCTCTTAACCTTCTCATTGCTTGTGTACGTTCATCCGTTGTAAGGAACTTCGCATCAGCTGGGGTGCTTGGCATGAAGAAGAAGCAGGTCACGCCGAAGACTGTCGTAATTGCGCCCTCAACTGTCGAAAGTCAGGCATCTGCTGATTCGTATCTAAGAGGCGTTTCGGAGTGAAACGTACCAAAGAAAATCCAAGGCCACCTGTTGTAGCCGCCGCGTCGTATCGTTGCCAATCCCGTGGCTAGCAGACCTCCAAAAGCGCCGGATAAGGGGGCTGCGCAATAGAACAAGCCGATGCGATACAGCATCTGATGTCGACGGTAGAACATGGCTAGATACACAACGATACCTCCAAGTAGACCGCCCTCGAAGAGTCCAAGGAGCAGTCGATAGACCACAAGGCCTGCGAAAGATTTCGTGAAACCAAGAAACGTGCTTACGATGCCCCAACAGGTGATGAGAGTTGGTAGATAGACGCCGGCTCGGATCTTTTTCACGATCCAATTACTTGGAACATCGACTAGGATGTGTAAGGGATGTAGAAAACCAACAGTGCAACATTGAACTTCGTGCCGGTAACCATGTCGAGGTCTTCCAAGAGGCCGTCAATCTTGGCGTTCCCAATATTGCTCCTGTCGATAAAAGCAAAAAGCCTAGATAAAACAGTCAGTTTCTCACACCGGCACATCGGGTCCAAGTCCGAGACGGCATCATACCAAATTCCGAAAAGCCAAGGGATAATGTGGATGTCGAACTTGCGGTCTAGGCGTTTACTCAAGGCAGGATCTATTTCATAGTGGACTTGGGATTGACGAATGTTCTCCACATGGCTATCTTCGGGATTGCTATCCTCGAAGGCATCATGCTTCTCCGGATCATGTTCACCGGACCCCTCGCCTTCTTTAGACTTCGAAAACATCTTGCGCTTTCAGTGAAAAATTGAGATAAATGTGAGGCTGCTGGGAATTGTTGGGTCAAAGAGGGTGTTCAAGGTGCTGACAGGAGAGTAGATTCAGCTACTCAAACGAGATTGATCAACGGACGACGCGATCCAAGAAGCAACGTTGCCAACAGTTTACTGGGACTTTTTTGTCTCTAAAGACCCCAAGTTGTTTCTCATTCACACATTTGATGGCGGCCAGAGACGCTAGACCACCCCCACAAAGCTTATCCGATGGACGGATACTTCGTCATCACCCCATGGGGTTGATGTGCGGGGAAGAGCAGGGCAGCCATTCAAGTAACCATCTCGAAAGGTTGAGAGGCCGATGGGACTTCTGCGCGATGGAATTAAGATGGACGCTATAGGTCCAGTAGCGTGCTCATTGCCCGGCACATCGCAGTGTTGTGGACGGCAATTCATCATCCCAGTCGGATGGCCGCAATGGGAAACCAGTCAACTTGGCACCGGAAGTAGGTAAGAAGGCGGGTTAATAGGGTCTCGATATTCCAACGTGTCAAGAAATGGCTTCCGAACTCAAGCTATGATGTTTGCAAGAAATGATACTCAGTAATATTAGTAGTGTTTGGTCAATGTCTAACATTGAGGTATTGTTATATGTATGAAGGTAAAGTTAATGATACATGTACTCGCAGCAATTCATCAGGCCAATCATGACTCAACTCCGAGCTCTTTAAAAATGGCCTTGTTATGCTCGCCCAGCTCAGGCACTCTATCCATTCTTGACACTTCCACCGAAGCAAAGCCAGGTGGGATGAGAGCAGGAATTCTGCCGTTTGGTGTCTCGACATCAGCCCATCTATCTCTAGCTCGCAGCTGTAGGTGCTCCCATACACCCTGCATGTCATTGACATTCGCGTTGGCAATAGATGCGGAATCTAGCTTTTGGAGAACCTCCTCAGCCGAGAGCTTTGCAAACCGTTTGGAGATGATTTCCTTCAACTCATCTCGGTTCTTTACACGAAGCGTGTTGCTCACGAAACGCAGATCTTTTGCCAACGCTTCATCGTCAAGAGCGATTTTGCAAAGGTTTTCCCACTCTCTCTCATTCTGCACACCGAGCATGACAGATCCACCGCCTCCCGTCTCGAAGGGTCCGTAGGGGTATATGGAAGCATGAGCTGCTCCAGACCGAGCGAGACCGGGAGCTCCATCGTAAGTATAGTAGAGCGGGAAGTTCATCCACTCGACCATGCTTTCGAGCATTGAAATATCTATCCGGGAGCCTTTGCCCGTTTTGCCGCGCTTGATTATTGCGGCGAGGATGTTGGAATAGGCATACATGCCGGCAGAGATGTCAGCAATCGAGATTCCTGCTTTCGCTGGGTCCGCACCGTTCCCCGTGATGGAGAGAAAGCCTGCTTCGCTCTGCACGAGAAGGTCGTACGCTTTCTTGTCTCTGTAGGGCCCATCTGAACCGTATCCTGAGATATCACAGACAATCAGAGATGGATGGGTATCTTTCAGGGTGTTGTATCCAAGGCCTAGCCTTTCCGTGGCGCCAGGTGCCAAGTTCTGGACCAAGACGTCTGACTTGGCAAGGAGTCTCTTCAGTACCTCAAAGTCTTTGGGTTTCTTGAGGTCTAAGGCTAGACTCTCTTTTGAGCGATTCGCCCAGACAAAGTGCGAGGCCATTCCATTGACGCGAGTGTCGTAGGCCCTGGCGAAATCGCCAACTCCAGGCCGCTCGATTTTGATGACTCGAGCACCCATGTCCGCCAGCTGACGGGTGCAGAATGGCGCGGCGATAGCATGTTCAAGGCCGACGACGGTAATCCCCTCCAATGGCAGTGGGTCTCTCTTCGGTTTAGAAGTTGAGGAGGTTGCTATAGTACGATGCTGCAGTCTAATGCGTGTGGAGGACGTCAGTGAAGCGACGTTATTGAGATATCTTGAGCTAGTATGCCTTGGTGTTGTGAAGAAAGTTGATGAGGCAGTGCTGTTCGCGAATCTGGAGGCTACTACCGAGAAAGCAGCCCGGGTTGTCGACATGGTGGACGAGGGAGCACGAGAGGAATTTGGAATTCGGCGAGTAGAGGTTCTGATAAACTAGCGAGATTGCTGGTAATAGGATCTTGGCTTCAATCTCGAAGATTAAATCTTAATGTGTTATGCAGCTCAACAGCTTTTAGCACTTCCATACGTCGGCACAGACACGTTCATCACTCACTTCATCCTGGCCTCGGCTTCAGTTCTGAAGGACGTACAAGCACGCGGTGGGGTAGTGTAAGCATAGCGCTTGTAAATGCAGCATCGGCTTCTCCAATTCAAGTCGGCTTTATGAATCCCCCAGCCCAAGCGCCGATCACTCCCCTTAGTGTCGTCATTTGTTAGCTAACCTGGAAGACAGTAGCCGGGCTTCGGGTCTATTTGCCGGAGACAACCTGACCTTGAGTTGCCTGCATGTTTCGAGATATGTGAAAAGGTCTTGACGAGAAGATACGGGAAAATTTGAGAAGATATTAATGGCTTAAGCGCAGACCTAACGTGCTGTTGTTGTCCACAGAGAGTTCAGCGGTCTCACAGCCAATCTACACCCATCAACATATTCACATCATGTCGGCCTCTTTGCCGCGGAACCTATGGCGCATCGCGCGGCCAGCCACCAAGACCGCTGGGTGTCTTCGCCGGGCAACGATGACCGCAGGATTTTCGACATCATCATCGAGAAAGATCATGGAAACAACCGGATTCACCGAAAATCAATTGACTGTTCGAGAAACGGTCAGTCAAGTCTGCGCGGAGTTCCCCAACACCTACTGGCAAGAACACGATCAGAACGAGCAAGACCCGAAAGAGTTCCACGCTGCCCTCGCAAAGGATGGATGGCTTGGTATCGCTCTGCCAGAGTCACTCGGCGGCTCCGGCTTGGGCATCTCCGAAGCGACGATGATGATGCAGACCATCACTGAATCGGGCGCCGGCATGGCTGGAGCGCAGTCTATTCACGCCAACGTCTACGCGACACAACCGCTGGCCAAGTTTGGAACTCAGGAGCAGCTGGAGAGCACGATCCCCAAGATCATCTCTGGGGAGTGGCGTACGTGTTTTGGTGTCACAGAACCCAATTCTGGCCTCGATACTCTGCGCCTCGCGACGACAGCAAAGAAACAGACCGATGGATCTTATGTTGTCACTGGTCAGAAGATCTGGATTACATGCGCACAAGTAGCATCTAAGATGATTCTTCTCGCACGAACGAAGGCGTACGAGGACTGCAAGAAGCCGAGCGAGGGCCTATCGCTCTTCTGCATCGATATTGACAAGTCACAACCCGGCCTAGACATGCGCAAGATCAAGAAGATGGGCGGCCGAGCCGTCGACGCCAACGAAGTATTCTTTGACAACTACCACATCCCCGCGAGCTCACTCATAGGCCAAGAGGGCCAGGGCTTCAAGATCATCCTCCACGGAATGAACGCCGAACGATGTCTTCTCGCTGGCGAGGCTCTGGGTCTGGGCTACGCAGCGCTAGCAAAGGCCTCAGAGTACGCGCGGGATCGCGTTGTATTCCAGAGACCAATCGGCCAAAACCAAGCCATTGCGCATCCGTTGGCGGACGCATACATGAAGTTAGAAGCAGCGAAGCTGGCTACTTACCACGCCGCAAAGTTGTATGATGCCAGCAAGGAGGACTCGTCGATTCGTCAAGATCAGGTTGGAGTTGCGGCGAATAGCGCAAAGTACGTAGCCGCGGAAGCGGCATTTACGGCATGCGAACGGGCGGTGCTTACACACGGAGGTATGGGCTATGCGGCAGAGTACGACGTGGAGAGGTACCTGCGTGAAATCTTCGTGCCAAGAATTGCGCCTGTATCTCGCGAGATGATCCTCTCTTACATTAGCGAGAAGGTATTGCAACTTCCTCGCAGCTATTAGAGCAGAGCCTCATAAATTGTAATCCTCACCCACGACCCCGAAGGGGGTCGTGCTCTGCTTGCATGCGTCCCTCTTACCATAACTTTTAGTTCCCTGGTTCTACCAAGGAACTTCTTTGCAAAACTCACACTTGATATTACGTGAATAGTGTCAATATACCATACTACTTACAATAACTTGCCGTCTCATCTGCTTTCAGCGGCGATACTACGCTTGACGGTGAGCTTGATCAACAAGTGAGGATGAGGTGAAGGAAGCCTGCTCGGTGAGACTCGGTGAGGAAGTCCACGGAACGAGAAGCCGAAACATCAAAGCGTTAGTAATGAGGAGGACAGTGCTTTTCAACCGACACTGTACGGAGAAGCTGGTTGCGCAAAGATATTATCCATGTTGTTCCCGTCACAGGCCCAGAGCACCACCAATGCGCGCCTTGATTTCTGATATTCGAACTACGCCCTGAAAGACTTCTCAGGTTCAGCTCATTGTCCTTGCTGCGGCATGTCAAAAATCTGTGCCTACAATGCCGACGGAGGGCCTGAAAAAACCGCGCGCGAAGCACGCGTGTAGGGAGTGCAACTCGCGACGAATCCGCTGCAATGTCACCGAGCGCCACCCTTGTTCGAACTGCGAGACAGCACAGGCGACTTGTGAAGTCATTCCGTCGCGAAGAGGCCGGTGAGTCTCGCCCGATTTTCCCCACACCGATGGCTCCGAGTCGGCAAGTACTAATCTCGTCGGCTCAGGTATCTACGGAAATCCAAAAGGCAGAAGCAGACGGAAGAGGCCGCATCGGCGACCCCGGAGCCCGCTGCCCCGGCCGCGTCGTCCGCGCTCACCGCTGATGTCGCCGCGACGCTCGCTTCTATGAGTACCGTGTCTCCATCGCATGGACTCGGCGGCTCCTCTGAGGTATCACAGACTCCTTTCCACGCTGAGACGCCTGCTTCGTGTCATTCCTCCTCAGGGACTACGGGCGGCAGCCGATTCTTCGGAGAGTCAAACTTCATCACGCTTGTTCCTGGAGCATCGGGACCCGGAAATGAGGCTGCGACAAGGGATGGGGTATTGAAGGGTCGTCTCACCTTTCCAGTACCGCAGACGCCACAATCTCATGACCTGGCTACTTCGCCTGCCAGTGTGAGTATTACTATGAGCTCTGCGACGGAGCGATACCTTCGGGATGAGGGAGCGCTCACCTTCCCTGACATGCAGAGCTGTCTACCAGCTTTGCATGCTTACTTCGCTTGGTTTCACCCTTGCTTTCCCATTCTTGACCGCACAGATATCGCGAGGCGGCTCGTGACGATGGATATTTCGCCACTCTTGTTGCAAGCAATGCTTTTCATCGGTTCAACGTATTGCGACGAGGCAACAATTCTTGGCATGGGCTTCAAAGACCGGTCCGAGGCTAAAATTCTGACATACTCTCGCGCGCGGGTTTTATTTCATGCCAATTGGGAGAAAGATGAGTTCACTCTGATACAATCGCTGTTTCTATGCAGCTTCTGGAGAGGGGGGCCGACGGACTGGAGAGACGTGAGGTATTGGCTGGGAGCCGTTCTAACCCTCGCCCAAACACATGGTCTCCATCGCTCGTAAGTCATTATGAGTGCTGTTATTTTGTTCAAGAACTCAACTTAACATGTATTCAGAACTCGATTCATCACGAAAGATCCCCATTTCGCTCGGATGAGAAGAAGAGTCTGGTGGTCAATCTACGTAAGTCCCAGATGATCATGAAGTTTCTATTCAATATTCCCCGTGTAATTATCTACTTACCTTGCGGCTGGCTCACATGCAATAGGTCCGCGAACGTCAAGCAGCTGTGTCACTTGGGCTACCTTGTCGAATCCGCGATGAGGATTGTGACATCGAGCCACTGACTCCTGCTGATCTGGAGGATGATGCTGACGAACAGCAAGCAACTGGCTTCGGTGCACCGAAGTCGGAGCACATCCACTATGCTATTAAGATGATTGACATTGCTCGCCTTCGTGAGTCTCATTTCTGCATGCCAAATAATAATTCTCTAGGCTAACCGATCTACAGTCGGGAGAATCATGGACACCCATTTTGCGCCTGGTCGAGGTCCTCCAGCACCGACAGAAGTTCGTGAATTGAAGCAGCAGCTCGAGGATTGGAAGCAAAATCTACCGGAGGAGATGCGGAGAGGACCTGACGATGGGCAGTCTTCGGTCTTGACCTGCTTAATCCACCTTGCCTACAAGTAAGTTGAGTCGAGTCTTTTGAGCGCTGTGCTGAACATGACTACCTCTTACATGGCGCTGGCTAATATGAGTCTATCTCAGTCATCTACGCATCCTTGTGCATCGGAACGGATGGCTGCGCAATAGAGACCAGGAAGACAAGAGCGCAGCTCTTGCCGCTGCCTGTCGCATAAGTCGCATCGCCGAAGACATGCTCGCGCAAAAGACCTTGCAATATGGCCAAATGCACCTGTGAGAACCCAATCGTTACGTATAATCCAATGCCGTGACTGACTCTTGCAGACTTACTAGCCTGTTTGCGGCTTTCTGTATACATGCGATCGACATCAAGTCTGCCGACGGCATCAGTCGCCGACTTGCCGAACATAGAGCCCAGATGTGTCTTCTTGGTCTCAAAGAAATTCAGAAATACTGGCGCATCAACAATAATGTGCTCGATCTCTTTCTGCAATACCTTGACGAATCAATTGCCAAGAGACTCAACGGCGACAGCACCGAACCTGCACCGACGAACACACTACCCAGTTCCATCACGGGTCTTGGTCCATTCAACAACCCAGAAACCAGCCCGCCAGTGACTCTACTTCATGATGCTCTTCAACAAGCCAGGCCTGAGGCAATGGAAGATCAATACTTCAGTCTTATGCGGACGAATTGGGAAGGCGAAGATGCTCTCGAAGATCTCGGGCTGTTCCTGGACCCTCAACTTTACGCCAACGGGCCAATGCAGGTAGAAGGTCTGAATTTCCTCCAGCGTTGCCTGTGAAAGCGACCGAGAACCCGGCTACCTATCTGTAAGGTTTGAGGTCTCTGGCGACGCGGGAAGTATTCACTAGGCTGGCATCTGTCGCCGTGGAGGAGAGGGACAGTCTGATTCTTACTCAGTCATCATTTCGGCTTCTTCTGCCGAGCACAGTGGCTGCTCGGCTTTGTTCAATGAACTTTCAAGAAGCCGAAAGCATATAGCCGGCGGCTCTGTTACCCACAGACCTAAGATCGACGCTGCTCAGATCATTCCTCATGCGGCGAATCAAAGGGATTGGAGTTCTTCTGGTCAGCAATTGGGTCAGTCTTGACATCCCGAGGCTCTTCCAGTTCCCGGCTCGAACCAACACCTTGATCGAAGGGTCTCTGATGAAAGGCATGTGTTGATTACACTTGACCGAACGAACAAATACCTCCGAATTACCTGCGAGCCCTGAGTATTTCGTACACGCCCAGAATCCCTCGGGTCCCAATTTCCGTCCATAATGGCATCCCTGGTCCATCAAATACGGCCGGCCTTCCGTCACTGCACCGCTCGCTCACGGCGATCTATCACCACAAGTGCAACAGACGCAGCCTCCAAGCTCATGGACACATTTGCCAGTAAAGATGTTGTCCGTAACCAATTGCTCGACTCTAATCAACTACAACGCCTGAGTTTGACCCTCAATCGAAAAGAGCTGCATCCCGGTGTTGACGTCTCTTCAGAAGCACCGGCTCAAGGTACGCCCCTGCCTCCAGGCTACCATCTCGTTTACTTCACCCCGACGGGCATCGAGAGTGAGCTCGGCATGGACGGCACAGATAAGACTTTCAACGCACCGGCGCCGTTTACGCGGCGGATGTGGGCTGGCGGGAAGATGCAGTTTGTGGAGGGGACTTCGCTGAAGGTTGGCGAGACTGTCGAAGAGAGGACGAGACTTGTCGGAGCGACACCGAAAAAAAGTAGAAGTGGGGATGAAATGGTGTTAGTGGATGTCGAGAAGGAATTTCGGGGTCGTGATGGATTAGTTGTCAAAGACCAAAGGTAAGTCATGAACGACTCATGGTCAGTCTGTTGCGGAGGTAGCGAAGCTAAGACGTGCTCAGATCGTGGATCTTTCGACCCGAAGTTGACGTGTCGCTGGCTGCGAGAACGGCACCACCACGAAGTGATAGACCACCTGCTTTTGGGCCATCGACCATCAACGATCAGCAGAGTGCAGAAGGGAGCACAGTCCGTCACTTTCGATGGTCGCCCGTTGGCCTGTTCAGGTTTTCTGCTCTCACCTTTAATGGCCATATGATCCACTACAATGAGCCTTGGACGAAGGATATCGAGCGTCACCCCGAGGTTGTGGTCCATGGGCCTTTGAATCTGATCAACATGTTGGACTACTGGAGAGATGTCTACGGCAAGGACGGCAGGGAGGCGCGTCAGGTCACTTATCGAGCTATGTCTCCACTGTACGCCGGTGATAAGTACACTCTTCGAACAGCTGCATGTGATGTGGAGAGTGGGAACAAGTATCAGCTACTTGTCGAGAAGGGTGATGTTGTATGCATGAAGGGCGAGATCATTGGCAGTTGATCATAGTATGCCAAGACAAACTCAGCATTCAAGACTTGTCACTTTAATTTTAAGCATACATGCTACATTTCAACTCCAGCGTCGGACTGATGTCGCTGCGTCGCATCGAACCCTCCCACCTCAAGGCCTTACCCCGGACCTCAAGACTCGGGACATAAGGACGTATCCCGACACCAAGAACGATCCAATCATCCAGACCAAACATCCAAGCCACCCGTCCAAGTTGATCATCTTGGAAGAAAATCAGCAAATGAACCTTGTGGGCTCAAACACAAACGGACATGTAGTCACTTACTGGGACACTGGTTCCTCCGCTCTTGCTCACCCATGGGAAAGCTCGATCGATCACTCTGCTCTCGTACTGACTGCACGCTACGCTGATGTCCAGTGTCGATGGCCCGATGCCCGAATCAGCTTTCTTCTTGAGTGCGAGTAGTTGAGGTAAGGCGTCGGCGCAATCATGGAAGGCTTGGTTCCCTCCCATTCCCCTGAAATGGCAATGTGCGTCAGTACATCGGGTCAACATATGTGTATCGGATTGATCAACCGACCTATTAGGCTGCATTGCATGCATTGCATCCCCTATCAGCCAGACCCGAGGATGTCCCTCGTCACCGGTTGTTTGTCTGACGTTCTTCCGCCATGTTTTCGGAAGTCTCTTGCTTGCTCGCATGCGTGCTACAGTAATATGGCCCTTGCTCGTGTCGTCGAAACCTGTTGTCAACATTGTTCGGCTATCAAGGCGCGGCATCAGTGATTGGTGATGGAGGAAGGTGCTTGCCGGCTCACTACTCAGGTGCCCAGTCTTTGGTCGCGTCAAGACAAATCTTCATGGAATCCTCCACCTTGTTCCAGTCATCGGTCGGCATTCTGTCTTTGGGAATCATAAGACCCCAGTAATAAGACGCATCCTTCGTGCTATATCTTGCGCCATTCTCGGCTTTCTGGGTCGTCTCGTCCGCGGTGGGTAGAAATACTGAGTGTCTAAACGTCAGTCTTCAATGCGCCCTTCTTTGAACAGTGGCACAATTCCAGATTTTACGTACACGCATAGAACATGGAAACACCGCCGGCAAATGTAATAAGTGGACTTTTGGTCAGACGTGAAGGCAACTTCTCCGTCCAGTCTTCGGGCAAAGGGCCTTTGCTGAGAATCATGGCATGGCTGTCAATTGGTACAATATTGCGAGCTCCGACTTGCTTGTTGATCTGTAGACGCTTTCATCAGCCCCAGTTCCCTTCATGATTATCTCTGTTCTTTGGAATCTTACCCTTGATCCGCTGCCATCTGCGCCAATAAGAACATCACAAACATCCGTAGTGTCGTCGGCGAAATGAACTCTCACACTTTCCTGCCCATCGTCGCTTTTGACAACTTCGTATCCTTCAAATGCCTTTCCGAATCGGATGATGCCCCTCTCCTGTAAAGGAGCAATGAGAACATCTCGGAGCACAACACGATTGATGGCGGAAGACGCACTGTAGGATGGGAGTTGGCCCAAGTCAAGCAGAGTCTGGAATCTCGTATTCATTAAGGCCGGTGCCGTGAGGCCTGTCGAGGACATTTGACTGAACTGCGACTTGATAGTCGCAATTTCAGCTGGCTTGAGACAGGCCTTGAAACCTGTCATGGCGCTCTCACCCAATCGAATCTGATATCCCTCTCTCTTAGCATCATCTGCGTCTCGTTCGTATACGGTTACGTCTACGCCGTGATTCATCAAGCCGTTTGCGAGTAGCGCCCCGGCGAGACCGCCTCCCGCGATGATGATCTTGAAGGAGGTAGCCATGGTGAAAAGTAGTTGGGCATCAGCTATCGAGATTGTACTTGAGAAGGGAAGGCGGACGGCCACGATGATGTTCTTTTCTTGGATCTCACCGGTCACATGTATCTGGTGGGTAGCTGTGCGCCCTCATGCAATCATCTTCAGTCCCCTGCAAGTGCTCAGAGCACCGCGAAAGTTCGGCAAAGAATAGCGGCACTGCGGATGCGGAGTCATTCCATAGAGAGGATCATAGAAATATCTGATGTCTTCAACTTCATACTACAAGTAGGTAAAGCCCCACAACCGGGTACAATGTCAGGCCCCACACGGGCTCTTGAAGGGGCCCAGGGCTGGCCTCCGAGTGGCTCGGTGTTCGGTGCCCGCAGTTGTCCGTCGATACGCCGGTTGCGTTATGTTGCTTCCCACGAAGCGACATGAAACTTGAGTGGTTGGGGTTCGTCGTGAAATACCAGAAACCCACCATTTTGGATATCTTCGCCTAGTGCCAAAAGTCATGCATCCAGGTCAGATTCCAGCAAACCAGGTCCACCTATCATTGCTTGGAATAATCAGAAAAGTGGCTTTGCGAGACCAAAATCGAGCTCTTCCACCGTTGACGAGGTCTGGGCATGGACCATGGCAGTCGCGGCAGCAGTGTTTACTCGGTACGGTTTGATCGCGCTATCAGCCCGCCCATCGCATTAGTGACATGAGCAACCGCTCCCCCACCTGTTCCTCGAGATGAAACGTACCCCTCGTCATGGAGAGCCCAGAACACCTTCTTGGGCTGGGAAAGCCAGCGGATTTGGTTCGTCGCGAACTGGGCAGCCGAGCCTTCGTACGGTCGACCGTTTAGATTGGCTCGGCCGGCGATGGTGAGGATCGCTACGTCCGGAGTGGGTTCAATGCTCTTAAGGATGCCCTCATAGCCGCCCAGATGTCCATTCCAGAACACAGTTTGTCCAGGCCCGATGAGGAAGTTGTAGGCAAGTTGACCTCCGTCGTAGTTGGAGAAAACGTTATTCTCTCTGTCGCTGATGTAGTCTGCAAAGGACTTCATTCCGTCGTCCATCTGGTCGGGCGGCATGATTTCTTTCATGCGCATAAGGCCATACTTCATACCCATTGTGATGTCAAGCGTGCACGCATACGGTGTCGCTTCGCCCATGTACACTGTTCCGGTATCAATCTCCTCGGGGATGTCGTGATGTCCACTTCCCGGCATAAGAGCATGTAAAGAGGGCCAAACGTGAGCAGACATGACAGCGCGCGAATGATGTGGCATGGGGGGCATTCCAGGCGGGCCATTAGCAATGGGTATCTTGCCAGCCGCCGCGGCTTTGCGGTCGTTCTTGGTGAACAACGGAATACGCTCTCCGCCGGCGACGGGAAAGAGCTGTGACTCATTTACACCGGCATTTCGGAGAAGATTGATTGCTTCTCCATTGGCGATGACTATGGCGCCTGTTTTCTTCGCGATCTTATCCGCACCAGGCAGACTAGGTACGAGAGATATTAGCCTCCGCGAGCAAATCTATAATCCAGCAGGTGGCAAAGTAACATACTGATCGAAATGAGCGTGAGATATGAAGATGTAATCTGCTTGACTGATGTCGTCAATGTCGAGATATTTCGGCAACACAGACGGTCTTTCTAGCCATGTATCCAGGAACAAGACGAGCCCATTAGCTCGCAACCTGAACGTAGTGGCCCCTAGTTTTCATGGACAGGTCAGCTCACAACTTCTTCAATAGGACATTCGCCAGGTTCCAGACGTACCAAACCATTCAATAGTCGCAGGAACCATTGTAATGACAGCGATAAAGATTATTTTGCTTTCGAGAGCTGCAGAGGAAGATCTAGAACGAAAAGAAGAGGGTATTTGTCGTAGGGTATATATGGCGTTAATTGCTGCCCGTAATTAACGGCGTCGTTTTTGCGACAGTATTCAATGCGTGGAACAGAGCTCGGGAGGTATGTAAGGGAATTGAAAGACAGGCAGTTTTGTTCGTTGGGTGGAACTCCAGGATGGAGGTTAAATACGTCCGAGGTAGCGTAGGTAGTTCCCCAAAGGGGTAAGAGAGGGGAGTGCGGTGCTTAGCCGATCAGTGAAGGCATGAATTGTGTGCGCACACACTCCAGTCAGTATTATGTTATCATCCCGCTCACGAACCTTTCCGAGCCATTAAGAATTCTTCTTAGCATGACTACGGAGTGCTGCGAGCCGAAGCGTTTGGCACTGCTGGAGCTTTAGACAGTCATCGAGCCTTATCCCGTGGACGTTCGAGATTGACGCCTGTTGGACCTGAAAATCGCCTCTGTTACCGCTTGTCGTCTGAACGATTGTTGTTGTTGTTGTTGTTGTTGTTGTATTTTAACGCCGTAGCGGCAAGGGCGCAGCCGCCCTTGCGGCAGACCTCCCGAAGGGTATATGGCGTGGAGGGCCGTAGGCCTATAGCTATCACTAGATACAGTCCAGCTCGTCCTCCAAATCGTGCCCAAAGGCAACTATGTGTTTAACCTGTCTCTGGGTGCCGCTGGCTTGCCCGAGACAGTGCTATGGTCGTCCCTAGAACGCAATTCCGCCAGTATCTCCTATCCTTCGACCCAGAGCCCGCAGGCTTCTGGTTTATACAACGTTCCAGTAACCTTGAGTTGGCAAGTGCGGCTTGAAGAGCAAAAACTTTGGCAACCGAATCACACTAAGCATACCGTTCAATCAGGGACCCCCAGATACGACATGAAGGCCGCAAACATAAGTCAGAAGCAAGCAAATTTAGGACGTTTGGAACATGCTTTAACCGTCGTAGCTTGTGCAGCGTTGACTTAATTGGCCGGCTTCCGTGGAGCCGCGTGTACATGTATCCTCCAGTCCCTCAGACATTTGCCGTAAATGCTTCCGAGAACCCCAACTCATCACCAGCGACTATAAACACAACACCGAATAAAGTGGGTGCAGGATTTCAGCTTTGAAATTCTTAGAGGTTACTTCCCGGGCCGAGAGTCGTGCAGGACGGTGAGGACAAGCAACGAAAATTGCTCTTGGCATCTCGACTGCTATCATCACTTATCCATGGATCCTCCGAAACAAAGTTAAGCTCATAAACAGTAAAACGTCTGACGCGAGCTTTCAGTATGGTCCTACTTACTGAAGCCAAAGTCAGTGCCACGCAGCTGATTTGATCGCTTATCCCATTGACTGCTGCTTAACGTCAGCGGAGCCCTTGTGCGGGGTACGGCCAATAAGGGCATACAGGCTCATCTGTGTCAGCCAATAATTAGGCACGTTTTAAGGTACTTATATTGTCTATATATTTGGGTTATGCCAAAGGTACCAGCAATCTCGGTCGGTACATAACGATATATCGTAATCTAAGTAACTTAGCCTTTTCGAATATACCTTCGTAGCTTTCTAAGGTTATTGCCAGATATCTTGCCTAGAGCCTGGCGGGATCGTAAGGCTGTTGTATTACTACAATAGGAGCAAGGCGAATATGACTTTCTCGATCCCTTACGATAGCGCTACTAAGGAATAGAGGTATTCCTTTTATCTCTTGTTTGCTTAGGTCGTGATCTTTGCCGACCCCCTGCTAATGGTCCAAACTGCTAGATAAGCTGGGCTGCAAGCAGTTGCCGCTATTGATACTGCTTTTTAATAGATCGCCAACTAGGCTTGCCCCAGAGCTACAGCAGATAGCTATTCACAACGATCACTTCTAACAGAAAGTCCCAAGCAATTGCCTGCCAGCCCCCTCGCCGGATAGGGTAGCCCCATTGATAATAGGACCTCATCTAGTCACTAATATCAACGCCGTTCATCTTATAATTATACTCGTCTATTAGTACTAGCACTGGCAGGTTCTTCCGGACGTCGGCGCCGAAGACTTTCCGGGCAGCCCGCTTTACAGCAGTATCTCCGGCCGGTCGGCGCCGGCTCCGGATAACATCCTGGCCTTCTCGGAAGACCGTTGTCAAGAAGAGTATAATAGCATTGTCTTTCCAAGTAAACTGGTTAACCTAGAAGAACTGATTAGTATAAAAATCCTTAGAAGGTAGTTTTTATAACATTATACCTTCCCATCTAACGTAGGAATATAATATATCTTGCCCCAAGGGATATCTTGTCCTTCAGTTGCTTTCTCGGCAACAAGGATCTTATCTATCCCGCTATCTTTCCGGTAAGTGCCAGAAGCTCCGACTTGCTGCTTCCGGAGAGCCCGGAAGAGCCGGACAGAAGAAAAGAGGTTATCTAGAAAGACGTAGTAGATTGTTGCCGGAAGCAGGGTAACTAGGGTCGTTACAACCCGTTGCGTTGGCGTTAAAAGGGCCTGCTTTGCCGCCTCGTCATATGGCGCTGGCCGGGCCTGTGGGACTAGCCCGTACGGGCCCTTTCCGTGGATATGCCAGAGCCACTGGAGACAGTAGCCTGATTGGGCAAAGATCCATATCTTGAAGCCGGTCGGGATCGGCTTAGTCGGGATTGTTGTTGTCTCAAGGGACCGGCCTGTGAATCGGACCATAGCCTCGTCAACGGTAAGGTCAGAGCCGGCCGTATAGAAGGAGTCCCCGGTATCCTGGATATGGGCAGACCACCCGTTAACCTTCCGATACGTATCCGGCATTAGATTATCTTAGGGCCGGCGTCGGTACCGGCTATGGCTAGACTAACTAGGGAACTCAAAAGTATCGAATATCCGCAGCTGCCGGGATAGTCTTTAGTAACGGTTACGGGATATAAACCGGGTAAATAGATAAATAGGGTCCTCTTTCTCTTGCTGAGTTGCCCAGTATCTTAATAATTCATATTCCTTATGGATTCCCATATAAATACACATAGCGTGACATGATGGCCAGCACGACAACCCAGAGACTGGCAGCACATGCATGCTTGCTCTCGTTAAGAGTTGAAAGATTGGAGCCTCACTGGCAGACTTCAAGTTGGTTATGCTGTGGATATGGGCAAATGTGATTTATTACATAGAAACCGAGACTATCGTAAAACTTGATGAGTGACGAAATTCCAAGTCACACAACATTCTGATAGTTACTAATAGTTGGTAGAGTTTCATCGTTCGTCCAGGCCCTTTCCCTCAGCAAGTCTTGTCGATAACACTATCATCTTGTTAGCTTGATTGAATAGCTCTTCAAATTACGCTTTGTTTTTGGAACTCACCATTGTTGAGTCTGACACTTTCCAGTAGTAGGATTAGGGAACTGTCCTGACTTCGGATCGCACGAGACAGTCTTGCCACCTGTACATGTAGCGCCCAAGAAGTTCCCCCATTGAGCGAAAGTCGCAGAATAATCGCTACCCATTGCGTTCCAGCCACGCCAAATATCAAAAGCACCAGTAAATGTCTGAAGACCGCTGGCACAGGCACCTTGACCACCGCTTACGGGCGAGTTTGGTTGCCAACTCGCGCAGTCTGGTCCCATGATTGCGACGAGCCCGAGGCTTGCCACGTTATATGCCTCGTCTGCATTCGGGGCGCAGACAGAGACCTGGCAGTGTATTTGGTTGCAACCTGAAGCTAAGACGACTGGGCTGTAGAACAGGCAAAATAGAAGGAGAGCGAGCCTGGCAGCGGTCAGTCCAGTTGTGACATAGAGTCAGAAATTGTGAAACTCACTGTTTCAAGGCCATATCGAACGTAAATGTTGACTCTTCCGCTTAATCAGACTTTGTGGATGTGCAAAAGCTCCAAATTCAAGAGACGGTCCTGAGCTGTCTGTTTAGAAGTGGTCGGAAACCGATTCTTTTGTCTTCCAAGTAGGACGGTGGCAACTGGATATTCGCAGTGGTGAAGGTCGCATTGACGCGTTACTTGAGTCGTGAAGGATGATGGGACAAGGGACCATTTGAGCCAGCGATGCCGACATTGCGTACTATAATGAGAGCAAAGGGCAGAAAATATGCTGCTTGCCTGTAACTTTTGCTATGTTGACCACTTACCGGCCCACGTGCTTGAAGATCCTGCCACGATCATTTGCGGCAATGACTCAGTTCAGAAAACGTGCTCCGCGCTTGCTAGGAAAGGCGAACAACTCTGATATATTAAAAGCTTGTTTCGTCCCAAATCACATTTAGAATGGCCCATCACTAACATTTTAAGTGATCAAAGTGTCGCCATGGGAATCTCAAAATCCTCCACCGGCTCGCTCGCCTGGCCCGTTTTTGTACCCAGGCGACACCAATACCATTCATTGCACCTTACACGTGGGAGAAATTTCTGCCTATGATTATTCAAGCGCCTTGATATATAGGTTACGACTCAGAATCGGTCAGCCCTTTCCACGAAGTCACAAAGGGGTCAACCGACTCTTGTTGTTGACAAGTCTATTACTATCTAGACTCGCCGGGAGCTAGCAATGAGTTCGGAGTTTTGACTCTGCAACATCGCCACTTTCACTATCACATCACATAACATAATGCGCAACTTAGCGTTCCTTCTGTTGGCGTCTAACGCTCATGCTTTTCCTACTAATCTTTGGACGCGTACCGATAAATGGGAGCAAACTACTTGCTCTGACGCCAACATTACCGATGCAAAGGTTCTAGCTAATGTCCGATGGGCATTAGCTGACACGAATGCATCATGGAGAGAAGCTATTGCAGCATGGCAGGACTACAAACCGGGAACAACTTCAGCTCAGCTCAAGTTCCCAGCCTTCATCAGCGACTTTTACGGCGGTCCAGAGGGATGGGATTGCCAAGATCCTGTCAACACACCATGCTCAACGACAGTACAGTGTGCTGATACCAAGCACCCAGCAGGGTAAGTACAGTTCAGTTCAATTTAATCCAAATCCAGAGTCTTTCTGACATGATCTGACATTTCATTCTTCACAGATTCCTTCTCCTCAACTCCTTCTCCAAGTTACACGATGTATGAAGTACCCGAACTTCCTGTTTTCAAGGTCAAGTCAGTTAACACACGACAAGGTATACCAAAAATACCACGAGGCGCTCCAAGATGCTCAGCTGAGCATATCTGCTGCCATGGGAGACTTCATATCTACTTTCGCGCCTCAGCTAAAGGCGGATGATCAGTCGACTCTCATAAAAACCATATTGGATGTGATGGCGTTTGGCATTGGCATTGCATCGGCTGGTCTGTGGAATATCGGTAAGCCTAGCTAACCTTGTGTTGTAAGCTCGACCAATCTGAGCTAACCTTTTGGTAGTCATCAAGGATGCCGCAATATTTGCTGGCAACAATTTCGGATTCGCCAAAGACACATTCAACAACGCCATCTCCGCGTCATTCGCTCTAAGCAAGGACAACACGAAATCGTAAGTCTGTTTTTTTTGTGCCTACTTGATGTCATCCCTCTAACTGTTCCGGGCAGTGCCAAAGACTCCGCAAGTGTGCAAAACGATTTGACCTCCGCAATGGGCGCCTTATTCGACGTATGGAAGAAGACACAAGAAGACTACTTGTCGGAGATCTTCTCCGGGTCGAATAGCACAACCATAGGCATGCTCGAGTCTTTCATCAGAGACGGCATGATGAACATGCTGCCTGTCGATATCAATCTCTCCGGCATGATAAACGTGGTCGAGACCATCATGTTCGGACAAATGATTCCTATTGCGTGGCAAGTAGCGCCTGCTGCCTACACGCCTTTCGTGCTGTAAGTTGATACTTTCAAGTTTCAACCAAGACTGGTTCTGCAGACATGGATCGGGAAAAGTGGCTAACAAACTTTGACCTATAGAAAAACTGGTGATGCATGTTCGAGCACCATGCCCAACACACTGAACCCATACATGACGCAAGAAACACACGAGAAAGCTGGCGTATGCTGGAACGGCAACCAGTTCTACGTTCTGACCGTCGGTACCTACCGAGTCGACGTGCAAGCCGATACGCCTGGTCTGCCCGACTCTGACCCGCCCTTCCAACTGATGGCAGGTGCCACCAATGACGTTCTCGACGGCAAGAATTGGGGTGGCATTACCTTGGAAGATATTGTCATCAGCTCATACGGCGGCTATCTGAATAGCGGAAATCGCAATGGCTACACCATCTCCGTGGACGACAGCGCCGGAGGCGTGGATCAACTCATGTGGACGGGAGGTGTACAGACGCCCGGTTTCTTTTCGCTTCCTGTCTGCACGAATCTGTGGAACACTCTGATGAACATTGCCGGAAGTCAGGCTGGAAAGGACAACTACCCCTGTGGGGTAGTAGTTGAGAAGACATACCCAGCCACATGAGGTTTCATATAGGCTTACCTCAGCTTTACTGTAATTTTGTATTGTATGTATTATTAGTGTTCACCACACAAGTGTATGACCAATCTTAGCAACTTGTATATAAACTCTTCCTCATTTGTTGAAGTATTGTAACGACATGGGCCTGTCTCTTCGCTTTCAAATCATTGCCACTGCACTAAAGACCTCTCAAAAAGCTAAGAATCATGGCGTGCATGTACCAAACTTATTTGAGGTAAAAACACACCTTGCTAAAGTATCATCAACTGCTAGATGCCGTTAATACATATATATAATACGTTTCTAGGGCAGATAAAATAAGTAAATAACACGTTTCTAAGGGGCAATAATGAACAACATAAGAACCCGACTAAATTTACATTCTATCCGCCTATGAATAATCTCGGAATAGAGCAAAGTTACAGGAAGGCAGGAGACGGATGTAGCAGCGTCATCTAGCAGTGGGAGATATATATATATGTACTCTATTACTTGGTCTGAGAATTGATAGTACCAAAGAGTGACTGATGCCATTTCCGATTCCAATCGGTTTCTTTCAATTCGCTTGCTCAATGCCCTTGCTTTACATGACGAGTTCCAACCTCCACGAAACATCTCTCCAGCTTGGCACGGGCTGTTAGTGCCATGCTAAGGAGGGGCCCCAGTCCCCGCGGTTTGCCGCTGCGCGCTGGGGTGGATTAGCTATACGCTAATCAAACCCTTAACAACGCACATTTTCCCCTCGAATCGAGCCGACGATTATTCAACCTAACGAGCCGCCGTCGACTCGAATTCGCCTTCCGCAGGCTAGACGAAGTCTTCCTGGTAGGGCAGGGAGCAGAGGTTCCATCTAGCCTCCCGAAGGAGACGGGCGACTTTCTTTCCCGGCGCAAGTGGCGCTTCCGGGCCCAAATTGAACATCACCGACCGACTTTTCGACTTCGCTCTCTCAGCACCTTTGCCCCTTAAACGATCGAAGACTCCCTCGAAGAGACGAAACGACCATTGGGTAGCGATGTATAGCCACGGCTATACACAGCTATGCTCGTTACAGAACCTAACAGCAAGCCCTACAACCTAGTCTTACGAGGTTTTGCCCCTTGTGGTTTCCCTTGTGGCGGTATTACCTATTACGATATACTCCGGACGGTTACTGGAACGTTGTGTAAACCAGAAGCCTGCGGGCTCTGGGTCGAAGGATAGGAGATAATGGCGGAATTGCGTTCTAGGGACGACCATAGCACTGTCTCGGGCAAGCCAGCGGCACCCAGAGACAGGTTAAACACATAGTTGCCTTTGGGCACGATTTGGAGGACGAGCTGGACTGTATCTAGTGATAGCTATAGGCCTACGGCCCTCCACGCCATATACCCTTCGGGAGGTCTGCCGCAAGGGCGGCTGCGCCCTTGCCGCTACGGCGTTAAAATACAACAACAACAACAACAACAACAACATGACGAGTTCGTTGAGATTGAATGCATCTCTTGAGACACCTAAGTCCCACAACAAGAAGATTGAGAGTCAGCAGTGAGCTTTGGCCATGTCCGCTTACAAGAAGCCAGCCATACCACCGCAAACATCAACAGACTCGTAGTTGAGACCAAAGTTAACGGTCTCAGGGATGATACGGTAGTAAAAGTTGGCAGAATGGTCAGTCTTGACGAAGCCCATGAGGTCATGAAGGCTGCAGCAGCTGGCACGGGTGTTCCAGTAGGTGGCAAGACGCTGAAAATTTTCAATTTGGTGCGCGCGAGTGAGCTTGGATTGGAGACGAGTGGTGTAGGAGATCTTGAAGCCAGGGGCCGAGGCACGCTTCTCCATGCGTTTGGTGATGGGCTCCTGCTCCTCATCGAAGGGAAGGTAGATGTGACCCTCGCCGTTGCCAAAGTCGTAGACGTGCAGGTTCAGAGTGGTGTTGAGGAAGTTGAGACCCTGAACGCTGGCGACGGATTGAGGGGTGCGGGCGTCGGAGTCGTAGCGAGCGAGGAGGTGGGGGGTAGCGTCGATGATTGAAGCGAAGGTAGAGCCATCGGCGGCAAGCTCCCGAGTGAGGAAGTCGACGAGGGACTCAGTGCTGCCATCGCGAGCGGAGATGGCACCAGATCTCTGCAGGATCAGGAAGATACTTGCAACGCCGGCGGCGATGGCGCTGGCAAGAGTGTCGCATTCACGTCCGTTGATACGTCTGCAGACATACAGGGCAGTGAGGCCGCCGGTTGTAGCATAAATGGCTGCCTCACTGCTAGTTCCGATCTGCTCGATGACAGTCGAGAGAGTCGAGCACTCTGCACGGGCAGTGAGGGGCGAGACTGGGCTCATACTCACCTCACGAACCTCAAGAGCTGTGACATCGGTGACCACAGAGTGGGCGATGGCGCTACCCAGAAGAGTTGCGAGAATCGGGAAGAACATTCTGAGGTGTTGGTAAGATAAAGAAATGATTGAGTCCCAAATTGGCAGATGTGTGTCTAAGTTGGCAGATCATAACTCGGAGACATAGCCATTGCTTTTATAAGCTTTCTAAGCAACTCATATCTATACCCAAATTTCGTCTGCATCGTGTCAGCTCGCAAACTCAACATCCAGACGATCCTTCTCGGGTCTCGAGGTGCAAGTCCCACACTTCCAGGCAGTCACAGAAGAAATCCTGCACGTCTACCAGTAGCAGATAGTTCTGCAAGGGCCAGTTGAAATTCTAGTTGCTCAAAGTCAGGAGATGATCCATGTTTCCCCACCGAAGAGTATTAGTCGGATGCTGCCGTCTAGCCGCTGACTGTGTAGAGACCCGATTTAACGTTGAATTAGGCACACTCAACCGTGCCAGGAAGATTGCCGATCTGCCGCATAACACCATGCTGACAGTCATTACGATGGGAATTCTCATGGGAAGATCGTAAAATTCTTTGGAGAAAGGAGGCTCAGCTTTCGGCCCTCGGGGACTTGACGGTTAGTCAGGGTGGCCAGCGGAATATGCATATGTGAGTGAGCAGAAAAGAGCGTCTATTCGTACTAAAGAGTGGATGGAATCACCACAGGCTTGTGGGCCTAATGCTATCCTAATAAGTCTTGCAGAGCTAAGACCAGGTGGAAATGACAGTCTGGCCTGTTTCGTGATGGTCAGACCATTCCGAATGGGTTATGTCCATGACTCGCATAAGGAGCATGCATGGATTCTGTCAGGACTCCTTAAACGATTAGGTGCTGCGCGATTCCGCCAGAACTATGAATTCTGCAGCAATCTTCAACGTAATATCAAAGTGCGTCTAACTTGAGACTCCCTAGGAACGTTTACGTTAGGAAGTGAGTCGCGTTGGTCGCGTACGACTGTTTGGTACGTTCCAGTCGGCGCTAGGTAAGTCAACTGTTACGGCCAGCTAGTCGTAGGGGTAGTTTGCAGAAGTTGAGGCTGCGGAACTGGTAACAGTAATCGTAGTCGTGGAATAGTTTCAAGGAAACTATGTCTGTCAATCGTAAGGGTAGGTAAGGCTTCGGTGATCAATCGTAGTCTTGTCAAGGTAGTAGCTGAAAGCGGATGTTAATCCTGATGCGAAGTTAATTGCTGAAGAGCTATGGAAAGTCTGTCCTAGAGTCCGGCTCGAGTCCATCCTATATACAAGTCTTGATTCTGAACATATCCTTTATCCGTATGTTTACCGTACGGATTCCGTATTCTGAACATACGGGGTCCGTACCTCAAAGGGACGGACTCCGTATTCTTGGCATACGGCTTTCCTTATCTTATCATCACGTAACTTGCTCCATAGTTCTTCCGTTCCGTAGGGTAACGCATATGTTCCCATAGTTCGTGCACTTATGGTGTGCCGTAGTCACCGTGGTCCTGCGGGGCAGGCCCTGGACTTGGTCGTGCATGTTGGGTCGTAACACTTCCCTACTTGAGACCGATTCGACCCAGTGTAATAATCATCTGATTATTACATCTGTTTATTACATTCGATTATTACTGTTACCAGTTCCGCAGCCTCAACTTCTGCAAACATACCTCACTACGACAGCAGTTAGGTCATTTTCTGTCTCCGTGCCAGACCTTCTGTCTGGAAGGTCTTGAACACTTTCGCTCCTGCCAGAGCCTGACTTGTTCAGGCAGTAACGGATAGCGATTGTTGCGGGCTCCTGTATTGCCATCGGCTGGGAGCCGATTTGCTGTACGCCTTCTTTGCTTCGCTCCAATGCAAAGTGGAGAAGAGAAAGGCGTGGAACCACATCACGACCGGCCGTGCTAGGTTTTTCCCCCTTGTGGTTTTTCCTAGCACTATCCGAACTACTTTCCTTGTGGATGAAGCGACCCGGGAAAAGGATGGCGGATAAGAGAATTCTGGTCAGGTGAGAAGATCTGCTTCATTTTGGAGCGGTTTGAACAGGAGCGTTGGGTGAAGACGTAGCCCTGTAACATAGTTTAGATTAGCATAGACCATGTCGGCATCGCGCCCGACACGTCTCTTGTCGCTCGAGACGTTAAATAAACCACCACCACCACCAGCTTCCCTGAAGCTATCCCCGACTACGATTACTGTTACCAGTTCCGCAGCCTCAACTTCTGCAAACTACCCCTACGACTAGCTGGCCGTAACAGGTAGTGACTATATTATAGTGGCAGTAGAAGGTAGTTAATTAATTAAGTGTAGTTAGTGGTGATGTTTTAAGACCAAATTTAATGTGGTGGCCAAAAGTGGGTAGGTTGACTTACCCAATGGGACCTTTATTAAAGCTAATGATTTGGTTTCGAGGCTCTAAAGCGTGCTATCATGTTCTATATCGGCAGAAATATCGTCCACCAAGACCAACCCATCTCAGCCATTAATTATGCTCGGATGTTGCTTAACCCTTGATAATCTTCAAGGCTTAACAGCCTTTTGCTCAGCCTTCTTTGAGGGATTCGCCTAGTTCCAAACTTGAGTCCTGCAATGACCACAAAAATAGCACAAAGCAAGTAAACACTTGGGCAGCCCACAGAAACAACAACCGTTGTTTGTCAGCTAAGTCTAGGCCTTTGCGGTTACCGCGGATGAACAAAACCATCGACTCCACAAACCCAAGAAAGACCCATCCTACTGGTGATAGATCAGCTTAGGTTGACACAACGAGTCGCGAGTATCGCGAGTGAACTGACCGATCTTCTTGAATCGTACGCCGGTCGTGCAGGAAACGTAAAGCAGGTAGAGCGTAGTGATGAGACTGACGAGAAAGAGCCCTGGCACAGTATCAGTTACCTTACCATATGCAGTTTTCCATGCTACATGCATCAAATGATCTCAGAAGAGTTTGGACTTACAACCATCTGCCTCGATTTGAGTGACCCACTCAATATGGCGCCAAGACAGGAGTATGTTTATCATTTTGTGCAGGTACCGTACTGATCTCCTGGCCGAAGGAAGTTTGCAGCCTCATGGAAGTTTTCGCTACAGCTGACATCGAGAACCCCCGGACACTGAGTATTAAAACAAATTTAATGATCTTTTTTCGATCGATGTCTGCTGATCCTTCGGGCGAGTGCACCGTTGCGGCACATTGCATGAACCTGCCCCGCATGCCGATTAGCCGGGTCTGAGATCAGGTCCCGTTTCTCAATCTGACCGGAAGGATTTAAACCTGATAGGGACTTTCGACGCATTCCTTCACGGTGGGCCGATACGAGGCCCCGCGATGATCTTGGCAGGGTATTTGACTTCAATCATAGAGTCTACTAGGTGCAAAGACTGCTGAGCCATTTCTCACTGTCAACACGATAGAACCAGATTCCAACTATTGAGCTTCGAGCCACTTCCGAGACACAACAGTGTCTTCGTTTTCAAGTTATGAGATACGTCAAATTTGAATCTCATCCCATGAGCTAGCTCTCTGGATGGAAGTGGCTGATGTCTAGTTCGCGGACATCACGAACTTAGCGATAAGATGTCGTATTGGGTGGGATCATTCGGATCACGGCTCGTGCCTTTCCATAATATGCTTACATCGACCCACAACATATGCGGAGACCCTATTTGCGTTTAGCATCGTAGGGCCTCAGCGATGGATTTTCGGAGTGACTTTGGTGTCGGAACCCCGAGTGCTTATTTGAAGATTTCCGTACCTGGAAGGCAGTTGTGATGACTTTGGTTGCCTGACATCGGCGTGGGTCTAAAACTCGACATCATGCGTCAATTCCGTCCACAAAAGTGAGGCGGATCAACATGCCTGTAGATGCTCTCACTTTTTGATTGGGGGGCACTCATAAATGTGAGACTGTGGATACCTGAGGCAGTAGCTGGTGCCCCAGGCACCAGCTGCCCGATCCACTTCCTGGTTGATCCAGCCCACCGCAGCCACCTTTCACCTTCACCACAACATCACCAACTAACCGTCAATACCAGTCGTATTGCCTCATTACTTGCCTCGTTGGTCCAGATGAGCAGTGTGTACTGCCCACAATAAAGAACAGCATGAATTGCCTGTGAGTGCTATAACATTGAGAATGCTGCCAGGCCCTATTTAGACTACCTAAGTGCATGAACGTCCTAAGCTTCACGTGCCTCAGCGAAGAATTTCAGGTCCTTCTTGAAGCTTGACACATGCGACGAGGCTACCAAGACGCTTAAACATCAAGTTTGATGCTTGAAGACATGAAGAGATGAACTCGTTCACATCGGCAAAAAGTGCAAATCCTGATGGATGGCATGTATGGTAGTTCCTTAGGCATGTCAAAGATAATGTGTTACTAAGAGTCGAAGGCTGACATGTAAGCTTTGTACTACTTTAAGTAGTCCCTAGTGGATGTCTGATCCGTACGATCAAAGGTCACGTGTGACTACGCAGCCTTCGGCCGGTGACAACGTCGGCAACCACGTCTGATCTGGTGGAAGCAACCCAGCTAAGCCGACTTTCTGAGGCCAATATCCTTGATGAAGAACACGAGAATATCGCTTCCGATACATGTATCTATCACAGACTATAGCTTACAGACGTCCGAACCTTTGAGGCATGATGTTCACATGCACTAAACGTGCGTAGATCACATCAAATATTACTGAATTGCTTGCAATGGATTATTGAGTTTTGGTAAATACTTGACAGTGAGAACTATGCCCCATCCGCATTTTGGAATTGGAGTATGTGCTTTGATAGAATATCTTTCGCTGACTAAACTTTTCGTATAATAATCAAGTATGCTACGTTTTTTTTTAAAAAAAAAAACCGGTTTCCCTGCTTACAAGTAGGAAGCATCGACCCACCACTCCTTCTTGAATCCCTCGCCAAGAAGTTCGACATCCTGAACAGCCTTGGTAAGCGTGGAGCTGAAGTTGGCCCTGACACCCGCCGCACCGGGACCCGTATTCTGGAACTCCTTGTAGTAGACATCGGCCGTGCTCTGCGTCTTATCCCAGATAGACCAGCCAGCGGGGGCAACGACGTCGCTCATCTCACTGTGCTGGAAGACCACACGGGAGAATGGTCTCCAGGGACGACCGAGGGTGACGGAGGCCGTTCCGCTGGTGCCGGTGATGTTGGCCTTGTTGAAGACGTAGAAGGAGGTGTTGTTAGCGGCGTCGCGACCATTGGCGGTGATGTAGCCCTTTCCGATGGTCTGGATGTCGCACTTCTCGAACCAGGCAGCGGCGCGCAGGCCAAAGATGAAGTCGACAGCGCCGTTAATGAGGGTCTTAGCGTAGATCTGTCTTCCCTCGTTGGCGTAGACGGTGTCTTGGTATCCAGTAATCTTGCAGGCGTAGAAGCCGAGGTTGGTCTTCTGCGCGCTGACGGCCAGGGCCATGCCGTTCTTGTCAGCCTGGCCAAAGGTGTTTGCGATGTTAAGGTTGTAGATCTTGATGTTGTCTCCCCAGAGGCGGAGGGTGGCGGTCTGGTCGTTGCTGGTGATATTGGCCATGGTGCGGGAGAGATTGTTGGTGAGTGTGGCCTGGTTTTCGGCGTAGTCGCGCCCGTCGCAGGTGTATCCCTGGATGACGAGGTTGCCGAGGTAGTTGGGGATGCGGACCTGCTCAGTGTAGGTGCCGGGCATGATGAAGATGCTCTGCTCGTCGGTAACGTTCTTCAGGGAGGCGACGGCGCCGTTGAGCGTGGGGTAGCTGTTGGGTTGCTTGCCGGAAGCATCGACGACCAGCGACTTGGAAGAAGGGCGAGTTCTAGCGAACTTGCCATTGCAGTTCTTGTCGACGTCGAGGGAAACCTCAGCCGGAGCTGCGGCAACCGCTACGGCGAATGTAAGAAGTTGGAGAAACGCAACCATGATGAAAGAGGGTGTAGAAGAAAGTAAAGACAGAATACGGTGGGATATGGTACTACAACGCTAAGGACATGGGGAAAGTCGCCTTGTATTTATTCACCATGTGTTTCTGGGAAACCCGGCACCGAAGCTCTGGATCAGCCACCTCTTCCCCGGTTTGATAGTCCTTACAAAGACCTTCTCCTTGCGGTCTAGTCGATTGCGTTCATCTGAAGGCCTTCGATAGGGTCACATCCAATTACAGCGGCGGGACCACGGCACTTGGTGTAGGGAAGGGCTTGCATGCGGAGTGCAGGACGGAGACTTCAGATCGAACATTCCTCCAATGGCGTCTCCCGTGTCTCTGGATACTGCCAAGCACCCTTATTTAGTTTCCTCTCCTCCCGGGGCTCGCTGCGGCTCTTGGCTAACTAAAGGTGAGGGGATCACGAGTCAAGCCTTAAGGAGGTGGCTAAGCTCCAAAGTTATTTCTTTATTAGTGGACGTCCACGGGTTGAATACTCTAGCGTTGCGCCACGTTTTTTTGAGGTTTACCGCCCCGAGGCTCGCTTCGACTCTTTGATGGTGAACCGCAACATCTATACGTCAGTTTTGTTTTCTACCCCTCGTGCTATTTGCCGTGGAATTATTGAGGCTAAGCCCAAACTGAATTGCTGTGCAGCTCGGTTCAATGCTCGCAAACAGAAACCCTTCATTAAGGTTTTTGCCATTTAAACGCCGGACAGGTTTTCTCCAAGCTCGGTTTGCACTGCGGAAGGCGTGCGGTGCGGCCGCCCACCGCGAAGATTCTCGCAAATGCGCAGTCGAACCAGTTTGCAAAGTTTATTTGATTATCACTGCAAAGGAATGGCAATGTTTTCTAATCCTTTCAAGGATAGCATCACTATCACTGTTCGAAAACGCCTTGGCGGACAGACCGGCAGCCGGTGGATACTATCTGAAACTCACCTCAATTTGCACAAACAGATCGATAGTGGTTTTCCGGACAAGCCCCTGAGAATAAACAACCTGGGCTGGGTTCTTAACCGCCTGTTGGGTGAAATTTGATTACGTTACCTGAACAGCGAAGACAAAAAAATGCCGTTTTCCGATGGCAAACTTTATGAGAGGCGGTAAATTGAGGGCATCTCAAAGCACTTAGCTCTCCAACCACATCCATTCACCATACGCGGGCTTTGTACTTTTCTTATTGAGGTTCTGGTCTGGCAAACGATTCTAGCGTGCAGCGTGCAATAAAATCTCCTTTCGGTAATCCCTTCCCTGGGCCCAATGCACCGGGGGTTATCGACAATTCCTGTCCGGGGCCGCTGTAGCCCTATCTCCCCGTTCCCAGGCCAGGCCACGTCACATTTAATATGTGTCGGTGTTCTGAGTGCCGTGACTGACCATTTGACGGAACTACGGTCTCGCAGGCGATCCGGACAGCGGCTCAAACTCGTTTGTGCCGGCCCGTTGAACACTCGGCAACGGGAACACAACGCTAATTGGAGATACCATTCTCCCTGGCCGCCTTCTCCTCGCCATTCTCCGCCGCGATCTTGACCTATTCACATCCCACGATACTCGCGAGCCGAGCTCACTCTCCGCGAAGCCGACATCGCTCAGGTTATCCAACTCCTCCAGCTCACGCTCCACCCCCGGCGGCGGCTCCACCTTGAAAACGGCCTGAATGTCTCCGTGCGGGTTGAACCCACTGAAGCTCCAGTTGAGCAGAGACTGCGACCGTGCGCGACGGGGGTGAGCGAGCCGGCGACGTTCCAGAGCGCTGATTATAAGGAGCGCTGGCGCGTTCAACGTGCGTATGACGGAGATGTTGAGATCATGGAATGATCGCGGGCTGAGGACAGATTTTAGCGGGAGGAGGATTGCGATGGCCATCAGATTGAACGGTGGAGGGTAGGCGAATATTGAGTCGCTCTTGACTCCGGCGAAGGTGAGTACGGCCCGTCGAAATTGGATCTCCGCAGGCGCGTCGGCGATGAGCTTTGAAAACGTATTACTCAAGAGCGCAACCAGGATCGTGAGGAAGAGGATGTTGCCAAGGAATGCAAATGCAATCATTAGAGCTGGCCCCAGAATGGGGTGAAACTCATCAGAGCGGTCAATTCCTGTGCCATCCAAGCCGAACCACGTCCAGATGAGCCACTTGCAGGTATCGTACCAGTTCAAAGCAGGCTGACCGTTCGCATTGGTGGCTGTTTCGTTACTTCCTATCAGCCATTGCAGGGATAGGAAGAAGCCCATGAAGCACCATATCGAGATGAAGGTTAGGCGGGTGAAATCCTTCATCATGGCGTGCATGGCGATGAAGACAATGTTGTCTGGCATGATTGTAAAGGCCACGCGAGTAAGTAGTACAGGAGCTGCCAGGCATAGAATGTGCACCCCGTAGCCGTCAGCAATGACGCCGCCATACGCCAAAACGTCATATACCCGAGCGAAGATGTAGCAGCTGAATATGAAGCTGAACGTGATATCGAGGAAAGACCACAGAGTCTGAGAGTGAACTGCCCACCCGTGCTCAATGATTGCCGCAAATTCGTTGAGAGTCCACCCGGCGGTGTAGACAGCGAACAGACATTCCCATCCACTGACCGTAGGGTTACTCCGGTATACCATCGTCAAGAGATAAAGAGCAACGAGAGTGACGAATTGAAACAACTCAGTCACTTGTCTAATCCACGGTACAATGAGGCGTCTGTCGTCTAGTAACGGTGCCCTGTGCGGCTCATAGAGCGAAACCGAGGCATACTCGTAGTGGTCAGGGAGAATATCGACGAACGACAGGGGGGTATAAGTGACGACCCCTTGCCAAACTGCATCGACAAGCCTTTGACATGCTGAGGAGCTTAGAAAGAGCTTGCTCTCAGAAATGATGGCCAGCTCCAATGTCGTGAGCTTTCTTTCATGGCCATCGCGACGCTGGATAGGCCACTGGGCTTGCCGGCATTCGCTCTCGACTTCCTCGGGAGCGCCTTGGAATGGGTCAAACCCTTCGACGAGAATATGCGCTAGGATGAGTAGGCCTATTTGACCTGGGTGGTCTTCGTGATACCGACGCAGTACTCGGCTTGCGACGAGCTCGCAGAGGGTCGCGCGCGCAACATTCACAGTATGATGCGCGGTGCTGATGTGTTGTCTGAGAAACTGAATCCGATTGGCGAGAAGGCAGTACACTTTTCGGATCAGCTTTGCCGTCTTGGCCAGATCAGAGTTTGTGGGCAATGGACATACCGACAGTTGGATCGTCAGGATCATATAAGCGATCGACTAGAGGTCGGACAACCAATGAGTTCATCCTAGGCTCGCGGAGCTGATCTAGGGTGTAGGGGTCATCTAAAATTGCTTTTAGTTAAAGTCGGCAATTGAAACAACGACGGCTATACCGATGCTTGCAAGTACAAGTCGCCTGATTCTGTATTTTTCTCCATCAGCTACGGGTATTCCGATATGAGGGCAGCAAAACCCGGCAGACTTACCGATGTATCGTAAAATACACGGATGGTGGCACCTCAGTGCTCACGCTCACGCTGGCGGTGGCGCTGACAGAGACATGCTGCTCTGCCTCTAAATCGGGCACATCGTTGGCGTTCGCGGCGCGCGTTATCAAGTCTCCATCACCCCATGGTGATAGCGGTCGAGTCCAGTCAATCAAATCCGGTGTTCGGGGGGCCTCTCCTTCTTCCATCTGACGTTGGGGAGTTGTGATGATGAGGGAACGCCTCGTTTGCAGTGCTGCGTTATTACACTAACGCCGTGCGGGACACCCTCTTCGTTATGTTTCCCGTTTGCCCAGCCACCCACAATCCAAGCCTGTGCAACTCCCGGCGTTGGTCTCAAGCTATCAGGTTAAAAGTCAGTAGTCTGCATGTTGTCGACTTGTACAAAATAAAAAGTGAAAATGTCGCATGCAACTATGCGCCCGGGCTGCCTCCCAGTGAGGGGTTTATCTACACATGTCCCCTGACTCGATCTGTCTTAACACTAACGCGATCCGATCAGCAGCTTGCACTGCCACGCTCGTGCCGCCTGACGTAAATGGGATAAGCACCGCGGCATTTCTAGTTGACCGACAACTCTAAATTTCTTCACCGAGGTGAGGCGCTTTTAAGCTTAGATCACCCTGATGAGATGAGATCAGATGTCTCACCACGTGCTCACTTGTAACAACTCACCAACCTTTTTAGCAACGAGTCGATATAGATGTTCAACATTTATATGCACCTTCATAGATGGACTGCTGATACGCGATCATGATCCTCGTTCTGAGTTCCTCGTTCTCTCAAAGGGCCAACGAGCTAACATGCTCTCATCCTAGAAGACCAAAAGGTGGTTCACGATACCGTTTGGTCGAAGAGCAAAAGTTAATTGAAAGGGACGAGACTCGAACTCGCGAGGGTTGCCCCACCAGGAAACAGATGTTAAGCTGGCCTTAACCTGGCGCCATAACCAACTCGGCCACCCTTCCATGATCTCGTGGTTGAAAAACCTGTGATAGTTGAGTACGAGTTAGGAGATTTGTGAATATGCAGCGTGAGGAGTCAGGGCAAGCCCTCAGATACGCTGATTTGACGATGATTGTGGAAGCGGAGATGATTTGCTGTAGCCCTGTTCCTAGTCCGAGATGAGGTGGATACCGAATAGCAGTAGAAGTCAAACCCAAAGGTTCCCCACAACAACATTAGTTGATGCTCAGTCGCTCGAGGTAGACGTGCTTTGATACAGCTCACTACCTTTGATAGTATTTGACTAGGGCTACAGCCAGAACTTTATGTTGGCATTGCTGAGGATTACGTTTAAGTCGTGGATAAGATGGGTGAAACATTGACCGCGATGGGTGCAAGATAATAAACGTAGACGTTCAGGGTTGTATGATTTCCTACTTACTCATTATGACCATGCGAGTGAGTTCAACTCGTACATTCCTGTTCGAGGCTTAGACCGTCTTGTGACTTGTAGTTGGCATGTTTCCAGTAGGTGACGGCACGTGTCACTTGCCAATACACCTATATCTGACCAAGGTCATCCCCTGGCAGATTAGACAGCGAGGAGGAATAAACCCTTTGAATTCATTACCGAACGTTCAATCTCTAGATTCACCGAACAGCACCTAAGATCAACCATCTTGCTTATTTTCGCAGATCGCATATAACATACATTGACATTGACGGACTGACCTCAAGTCTTGAACAAAACGACGGGAACAACAAACTCAAAAGCTGTACATCTCGGCTGCGCACTTATATGCGAATCTTTTTGTTAGCAAAACACTTCGACGAAGTAGTTTTACATCGCATTCATCTCCGAGCTCACTGAAAGATACAGTAGGGAGTCATAATTAATTGAGTGAGCTTAGTTTAGTTTAGCCCCCGGCACTTGTAGCCCATTCCCTACGCTTAGGGATTTGCCTCAAACTTCACATCATTAAGTAGGCACTTGAGCACAGGTATTGAATGGCATGTCTCAGTCAATCGTCGTCATCTTATTGAAAGCCACCGCATCATAAGCCTCTGAATTCCCGCTCTTCAAGCGACACTGTAGTTCTCGAAATAGTGTGACTAATGTCCTGAGACGCGATAAGTGATTGATCGGCATGTAGATAATTGACATAGTATTGATCCTTCGGGTAATAGCAGTGGGGCGTACCGGGTAATGATGCCGGAATTGTTGGTTACAACCAGGCCGGGCAAATCTGATAAGAGAAACCTGATGCACGCCCAAGATAAGATATGGCTGATATGCACCTTTCCCCGATGCTTACGAATACTCCAATCAAAAGGATGCCCCCATCGAGCTGCAGGATGCATAATCACCCCCATTCTCGGCGCAAGAGTGGGTGAAGATGCGTGCCTTATATCAAGCCTTCCACAACGCAATTTCAAAGTCGTCCTCGTTAGACGTATTGTGCACATCGGCAAGACTCGGCAGGGGCACCCTCGCACTGGAGAAATACCTGAGATTAAGGTCATCCTCCAATATCAGCGACAATGGCCACCGACAGCAAGACGTTAGCCAAGTCTGACGAAGACCTCAAGCGCGGATCATCTGATGATGTCGAATCCTCTTCACTGCATGCACCCCAACATGGCAGCAGTGTTGTTGTTGACCCGGAAGGAGAACGATCGTATGGTAAGCTCTAGTCAAACGCATATCACATTCGACTCGACGCTTACACAGTTACGCTTCTAGTGAGGAAGCTTGACTTCTATCTGCTGCCGTATCTCTCTCTCATGTACTTCTTCAATGCCGTCGACCGTTCCAACTTGGGCAACGCCAAAACCGACGGGATCGAGAAAGACCTCAACTTCAAAGGAAATGAGTACAGCCTACTCATTCTTCTCTTCTACATCCCTTTTGGAACCTTGGACCTTCCCCTCAATCTCCTCACAAAGAGATTCTCGGCACGATGGGTCTTGCCTACGTTGATGGTGGTCTGGGGTGGCATTGCAACCGTCCAAATCGCATCGAAAAACTTCGCCGGAATTCTGGTGCTCCGACTGATCCTTGGCGCATGCGAAGCCGGTTTCTTCGCCGGCGTGGTGTTTTACTTCACTTTATTCTACAAACGATCTGAGCTGGGCTTCCGCGTCGCCATCTTCTTCGGCAGTGCTCTCCTAGCGGCAGCCTTCAGCGGCCTCATCTCCTACGGTGTCTTCCAAATCGAAGGCACGAAGCTTCAAGGCTGGCAATGGCTCATGCTCATTGAAGGTGTCTTGACTGTGCTTGTCGGAGTCATAGCCTTTTGGTGGCTACCAGCTTCTCCGGCAACCGCCTGGTTTCTCAACGACAGAGAGAAGGCCGCAGCTTTAGCCCGGACCCTTCGCGATGGTTCCAACAAAGTGGACTCCAGGTTTGACTGGAAAGAGTGTTTTACGCTATGGAAGGATTGGAAGTTCGTTTTCTGGCTTTCCATCGCGTTCAATTATCCCGTCGCCTTCGCCACGACGTCCAACTTCTTGCCGCAGATCGTTCAGCGTCTCGGCTACAGTGTCGTCAAGACAAATCTCTGGACTGTAGCCCCCAACGCCGTTGGCTTTGTGATACTCCTGGCGACGGCATACTCATCCGACTACTTCCACGAGCGGACTTTTCATATCGCTGGTGCTTTAGCAACCTCCCTGGTCGGCATGATCATTCTCATCACAATCGATGTTCTTGAAAACCGGGAATTGGCTTACTTTGCCTGCTTCCTCATGGCTGCAGGAGCATACACACCTTCATGCCTGGTTCAATCATGGCACAATAACAACAATCTGAACGAGAATAGCCGCGCTGCCACGACGGGCTTGCTCGTGGGTCTGGGCAATTTTGCTGGCATATTATCAGCTGCAACATTCCGGACCGAATATGCGCCCAAGTACATCCCTACTCTCATTGTTACTTGCTGCTGCAATGTGTTGGCAATGGCCTCGGCGTTGATTCTCGGCGGGTGGATGAAGTTGGAGAATCGTCGAAGGAACAAGACCCAAGGAGTCAATCTTCAAGCCCCGGATGTGGACACATCAGAATTGCACGATGGTGAAAAGTCGCCCAGGTTTCGATTTTTCACATAGGACAGTTTAGCCCTACTTTTACCTCGAGTAGCAATACAAAGCCAATCTCAAATCACTGATTGTGCAAGAATCTCCCCTCTGCACACTATTAAAAGGCCATCAGACACGCTGCACTTTGTATGACTTCTTGAATCTCATCCACAAGGTCTGCCAAACCTCGCACAAGTCAGCTAAGGTAAGTTGACTACTTATGTGATAAGGCATTTAAATTCCGTAAAGCTACCCAGACGTTCAACAAGATCATGGGCATGATATCTGAGTATTTTACCATTGCTGATCACAAGATTGTTGTCGTGTGGTCACAATGTGGGCATCGAGATGTTTGATAGAGAACGGTTATCCATTGAAAGTAGAGAATAGGTACGAGGCTCGCTCTGGAATGATGATGATGATGATGATGTATTTAACGTCTGGTAACAAAAGGACGTGCCGGGCGCTATGCCGACATGGTCTATCCTAATCTAAACTATGTTACAGGTTACCGTCTTCACCTAACGTTCCTGCTCAATGACTCGGGCAAATTTCGGAAAAGAAATTGGTCTCCTCTATCCATTCGCATAGAAGAGAGGCTCCCTTAGCAGAACCTAACAAGAAATCAATACTTACTTTAGCTATACGTTGGCGGAGGTAGCGCGGTGTAGCCTTGCGTCTACGCTTGTAGAAGTAGAAATGGACTGGTGTCTTGGGTTTCCCACAGCTGCAGTTGAGCAACGCATCTTGATGAGCGAATCTCTCGTGGTATGCTGCAAAGTCTCTATGATGGGATCTTGCTGCGTATAGCCTTCCTAGTAAGTGCCGAGGGAGGCGGAGTTCGGGCGGCTTGGGGTGAAGAATTATCTCGAGGTCGGCATATTGCCGAGGGCATTGGGACAGCCATTTTCTGGCAAAGGCTTGGAAGGCAGCTGCTTTAGCTTGCCTTTCTAGGTGCGCCAATGAGGGCTGTGGTTGTGATTTTGGGATTAGTTTGCAGGCTTCCTTGGCTAGAGCATCCGCTTCTTCATTTCCTGGTACTCCCGTGTGCCCAGGGCACCACCAAACATAAACCCTGCCGGGGGTTGTCCAGCTCTCTCTTTGTCTCCGAGTCCAGGAGGAAGAGAGCCTATTGAAGGCCCTAAATCTAGCCTGGCTGCTTCCTGTGCTCTGGGAGTATAGTCTAGCCGCGATTGCGAGGTTGTCGAGGTAGATGTGGACGTTATCTGCCATACGAGCCGTAGGAGCCCGGGTGGCTTCCATTAGGCCGTGATACGCAGCATGTGCCTCCGCGTTATATACCTCAGTTTGGGAGCCGAGTGGTTCGGATCCGCGGAAGATCTGCCGTGTAGCTTGGTACCCTACCCAGCCTGCTCCGGCGGAGGTGCTGCTGCCGTCCGACATCTGGGAGCCGTCAGTATAGACAATAATGTCCCGCTTGGAGAAAGTTGCCATCCTGCCTGTAAAGGAGAGGGCCTGTTCTTCTTTGGTCTTATTAGGTTCGTAGCCGACCCTGGCGAGGGCTGTCTGCCAGTCCGCTAGTTGCTCCCAAGGGGGAGTTCTAACGGATCGATTTATTCGGTATTTTTGCTTACGAGGCTTGCTATTCGTTGTAGCCGTGAGTCTGGTCCTGATTTGTCCCTGAGTCTCGTTCGGAGAGGGTGTCGCTCGTCCAGACGATGGATTCTGGTGGACGCTGTGTGGAGCTTCGCGTCTAGTATCACCTCTGCTGGGGGTAGAGCCGCCTCGCGCTGTAGGATCGGTATAGGCGTAGTTTGTTGGGCAGCGATTATCAGGTAGGGGGTCAATGGGATGTATTGATGAGTATGAAGAACGAGTGGCTATGGGAATATCCCGACTATCTATATAGTGAGTGGAAGACCCTTTATACTGGCATATCCTTGGCAAACTTAGTCATGCTTGTGTAAGACCATATTGTTTCATAGGCATGGTGTGACAATCGTTGTAACGAGTGTACTGGGATGGGCCTGACAGTTCTGTATACGGGGACTATCGCTCCAATGGCTTTGGTTTACGTCGCGTCCAGTTGGTGTAGCAGACTACCAACCCCGTTTGAGATAGTACGTCCATTCTTTATCCGGCTCTTGCCGGGCCACCATGCTTCAGATGCATAGTACTGAGTGGGTAATACATAAGAGGTGATCGCTCGACGAAGTCGCTCTGGAATAGGTGATGCGAGCGAGAGTGGGCCTCGGTGATTATGTAACCGAGGTCACGTGACGGGTAGTGAGGCCACAGATGGTTGAAGCCATCACGACAATTGTGATAGTTCCCACTACACGTAAGGACGATCCGATTAAATACCCCGACGGGTTTTGGCTAACGTGCGGAATTTCGCGAGTGGGGGAATCCTCGTTAACTGGCCGCCGCCGCAATGGCTTACGACAATGTCGTAAACCCCGGATTCATCCGGCCGGCCTATCGCTCCCCGCATATCAAAACTGGAGACAGCCTAGTAATGAGATAGGGGAATGTAATTATATCGTGAAGTTCAATATTACTATTACATTTTGTATCTGTGCATTCTTCCGAACAGTCTTTTCAATCTTCATTCACGCCACCCCTGTTTGAGCTTGCGTCATTCTACCAACGATCATGGCCGTTCTCAATATCGTCGAAGCTTCAATTGAAGATTTACAAAATGCCTTGACCAACGGTTCCATTACGAGTGTTGAGCTTGTAGCACGTTTACTCCGCCGTATCAGCACTTACGACTGCCGGAGCCTTGCCCTGAACTCGATTCCCATCCTCAACAATACCCTCTTCGAACAAGCTGCCAAGTCTGATGACCGAAGAGCATATTGCGAGAAAATCAGGCCCCTGGAAGGTATACCTTATACGGTCAAGGACAGCTATAAAGTTAAGGGCATGGTAGCCGCCGCGGGATCTCCTGCTTTCGAACATCTCGTTTCCAACGAAGACGCCTTTCTTGTTAAACTCATTCAAGATGCTGGCGGAGTACTCATTGGGCGGACAAACATGCCTGCAATGGCCTGCGGCGGTATGCAGAGGGGCATCTGGGGAAGGGCCGAGAATCCTTACAACCCAGACTATTTGGCCGCAGCATTTGCTTCGGGTTCTTCAAACGGGTCGGCCGTTTCTACAGCAGCATCGTTCGCAGCTTTCGGGCTTGGGGGTGAAACTGTGTCATCTGGGAGATCGCCAGCATCCAACAATGCGCTCATCGCTTACACCCCCTCGAGGACCTTTTTATCCAATCGCGGCAGTTGGCCGTTGTATCCAACATGCGACGTACCAGTACCTCATACCAGGAGCATGAAGGATATGCTGACTCTCCTGGATGTCATCACGGCCCTAGATCCAGTTGCCAAAGGTGATCTCTGGCGAGAGCAGAGCAGCGTTCAATTGCCACAGCCTTGGAGGGACAGGCCGGCGAGCTTTCAAGACCTTGCCTCATCTGATTCATTGTCTGGGCTGCGTATTGCTGTGCCAGAGATCTTCCTTGGTGGACCGGTGCCTGAAGGCGCGAAGCCTGTCCATACGAGCCAGGCTGTCATTCGATTGTGGGAAAAAGCAAGAAAGAATCTTGAGTCGCTTGGCGCGGAAATTGTGATGGTTCCCGACTTTCCGCCTTTGACAGCTTACGAAAACGACAATCTTTTGCCGGAGGGCTGTCCCAAAAAGCCTGCGGACTGGCATGCTACTGAGAGAGGAGCATTGGTAGCACATGCTTGGAACAACTTCCTCCGAGGGTTCAACGATTCAAAGTTTCCAGATATCTCTGCAGTCGACACATCGAACATCTACCCAGACAGCATGAGAACGGAGCCTGAACTACAACACTTCGAGAAGACGAACGCATTACAGTACCACCGGCTAGCCGAATACGCCAGCAAAGGGACTATTCTTGATGTAGAAGGTCTGGATCAAGCACTCAAGGCGCTAGAGGCTATGCGGAAGATTCTTCTTGAAGACTGGCTCAGTAAACTCAACTGTGATTGCGTTGTCTTTCCCGCCGCCGGCGATGTCGGACCTGCGAATGCCGACTCGGACTTTGAGGGGGCATCCCTAGCTTGGCAGAATGGTGTCCATTACAGCAACGGGAACAGAGCAATTCGACAACTCGGTATTCCTACCGTTTCAGTTCCGATGGGCATGTTGGACGACAAACATGTGCCCATGAACCTAACCTTCGCTGGTAGAGCTTACGATGATGTCCGACTGCTGAAATGGGCGAACGCTTTCGAAGACAAAACGAAACACCGGACCCCTCCACAACACACGCTATATCTCGAATCTGACTTCATTCAACTTTCCAACAACGGGATTAACAAAGATCCACGGCCAAAGTTGAGCATAAGCACGTTTATAGAGGCGCCAGCATCTAATGACACCGACTCGCTGTTGGCTCAAATCGTTGTTACAGGATCCGTGACAGTGAGCCCGCCAATTGGGGATTTTCCAGTAGTTGAGATAACCATTGATGCACAAAAGGTTCATCCGACTTGCATTGATATTCAAACACAGCTTCAGTCAGTAGAAGGGGAGGAGGTCTTCTTATTTAAGGTCAGAACGAAAACTTCAAAGCCTCCAACAAGACAGGGTTTAGGCTTGACGCTGGCCCCAGTTGTCCGAGACAAGATCATGGTGGTTATCCTAGTAAAGGCTGCGCCAAAGGGTAGACCATCAGGCTGGATGGGGCTGGTTTAGATGATCTAGACGCACGTTTCCGCACATATTCGCAGAATCAGGCACGTTCAGATATGAGAAACCTGACAGATTTGATACTATTACAACCATGTAGTTATAGTTTTGAGATATGTATGCGGAAACAAATCCGAGCTCCCATTGAAAGGACTTACTTTGGGGCCATTTTTTTCACAGTCTTCCGCATTACAGCCGCAACAGATCAACTCTCACACGAACAGAGGAATTGTTACGTCGTTTACTTCAACCGCGCAGATATGAGCTAACACCTCAACTTCTGAGGCATTCGTCAAATCTGGACAGAATCCCATGGAAAAAAAGAAAATCAGATGAACAGAATCCCACAATATTCAGATGCTCATTGTCTACTGCTTACAGACTGTTATCTCCACCACAATCTCTGGCTTAATGTCAACCATTTCTTACCAAACAAGTACGTACCAACCCACCACTTAACCTCATCTTATTCTACTTTTGGTAGACCTGGTCCTCGAAAGGCGTTGCTTATTTGGTTGCTGCGTCGCCCGAGCAGCGATTCCTTTGAGAATCTCAGCAAAGCTATCCGGAGATATTGGAGTCGGCTCAAACCCATCTTGACCATCTTGGATTAGTCTGTTCAGCTCCGCTTCCATGTACCATTCCCTTGTGTGCTTACTAGGATTCAAAGGAGATGGCCAAGATTGTTTGCCGCTGAGGCCTTTATAGCCAACCCGCTGTGGACATCGGTGTCCCAAGGTTGAGGACGTTGGATTGTGTTGGTATACACGTCAGCAGGGCAACCGTACGGTTGGAACGAAGGTTCAATAATGGTCTATTATTGCTGCGTCTGGAGGTGGAAGGAGGAGGTTGTGGGCAGAGCCCACGGCCTCTCAGAAGTGGTATGTAAGGGGTCGTTTGTAAGTGCCCATACCGCCTTCCAGATCCACCTTTTCTGCCGACTGCTCAGAGATCCAACAGATTGAAATCCTGCTCGCCACTGGTGTATCCATGCGCTGTGTGGAACTTTGTGTCAGTCACTTTATAAGATGTTGTCATATGCCAATCATCCTTTTCGACTATGGTCTTACCGCTAGGCGTCATACCAGTCATTGTTGTGTTGTGTAAACCAGACCTAGACCGAACAGAGTTTTGATTAGCAAATATATCTTGAGTCTCAGGCAGCAGTTATGTAACGGGAGGTCTTGTAATTACCTGATGAGAAGACTGTTAACTCGGCTCTGATTCAGAGTTGGTGTCTTCCAGTGGGCTTTGAGCAATTTACGAGGGGGTTGTTTCGCTGTAGGTGCTGGTTTAGTGATTTTCCAGATAACTTCAACATATCCCGCGGGCGGAGAGACACTTGCCATTGTAGTGGATGTCGTTCAGTCAAGTACTAGTTGTGTGGTGTTTGAAGCCTGTTGAGATTACCGCTGATGGTGGAGTGACTGCTGGATGTGATGGTCTGTAACAACATTTCAACAATACGAGCAACGTGCGAGACTTATACCCGTACGCACTTGATCATCTGTATAGACTTCGACCCTATCTTTGATAGTGTTCGTAAACAAGTGGTTCTCTGATGCTGTCAAAGGCGGTTGATCAAAATTGGAAATCTCGAGTTCACTGTGGTAAATTTACCAAATATAGCATTCTAGTAACAAAGCTACATGTAAGTTCTAACTGGTCTACTGGCCGTGAGCCGTTTCATACGTTGAGATGTTCATATGTCGCTGCGTATTGGTAAGTCAAACCCCCCACTTCCTGGCACCCCCCTGTTTATGGCACCCACAAAAACGCGAAAATCCACCACAACCCAATGCCCACCCCCAACCTCCTTTTATCACAACATTTTCAATTCGCGTCCAAATGGGCTCATCTTTTGCACATACCTTCTTCTATATCTAATGCCTCAATATACCGAAGATCAGCTTCGTCAGGCTCTCGAGGACATCTCAAACGGCAAGAGTCAAAAGAGAGCCTCATTGGAGTATGGGATACCACGATCAACCCTCCAACTACGTCTCCAAGGTGGTCAGACTAGGAAAGTGGCTTTTGCTGACTGGCAGAGGCTGTCTCCTGACCAGGAGAGTAAGCTGGCACAATGGGTTCGCATTCAGGCTTCGCTGGGCCTCGCACCAACGCACCAACAGGTAAAGGAATTCGCAGAGCGAGTTCTGGCTGCTGCTGGGGATACCAAACCACTGGGAAAAGGCTGGATCTATGCCTTTGTGAGAAGGAACCCTATCATTAAGGTTCAGAGAAGTCGTTCTATCGATTCTAGACGCGTTAATGGGGCATCTACTGAGGTCATTAGGAACTGGTTTAAGTTCCTCGCTATCCCTGAGATCAAGGCTATGGCCGATTACCGGGACCGTGGACGATCCGGGACCACTACCGCCCCCGATAGGCCTGGCCGAAGCCTATTGGTACGCCCTGGTCAGAGACCCGGGTGCCTTTGAGAAGTTCGAGCGTGTGACGCGCTACTATGAGGCTCACTCTCTGCAAAGATAGCGAGCCCGAGATCCCGCGCCTCACAACTCTCTCACACACCCACCGACGCCTTGAGGCCCCGGCCTTACCACACCCCTCTCTCTTCCTTCCTCCTTTATCTTCTATATAAGAAAATATAAGAAAACAGAAAAATGCTCGCGTAGGCAAATATGCCTCCGAGGGCCGGTTACTTGTTGCGGCAACGCCGTCTGTGGACGGCGTAGGGCTGCTAGAGACCCATTCGCTTCTGCCGAGTCAGGGACCCCCTGCTGGCGTGCTTTTTGGAACTGAACGGACCCTGGGGATTAGATACTAAACTCCACTGCTCTAGGCACGAGAAGAAAAGTGTACATTATAGACTGCCTGACTTGTCGTACGCTATAATGGCGGCACGGCACATCATATGCCCAAAGGGCGCTCTGGTTGATCGGAGCTTAGTTACATAGATAGCTGGGCACCTGTCCCTGATGATGTAAAACACCACTACTACTACTACTACTACTACCCTGAGATCAAGGACATCAAACCAGCCAACAGATATAATATGGATGAGACTGGCATCCTCGAGGGTCAGGGAGCTAATGGGTTAGTGCTGGGTATGGCTGAGACGACGTCTGTTCGCAAGAAACAACCTGGGTCGAGGGCATGGTTCTCTATCATTGAGTGTATCTCAGCCTTGGGTAGGGCACTTCGTCCTCTTATCATTTTCAAGGGGAAGACAGTCCAACAGCAGTGGTTTCCATTACATCTCGTTCCATACGATGGGTGGGAGTTCACAGCAACAGATAATGGCTGGACTACAGACTTAACTGCCATTGAATGGTTAGAGAAGGTGTTCATCCCACAGACTATGCCTGAGGCTGAGGGGGAGGCTCGACTGCTGATTGTGGATGGGCATGGGAGTCATACGACGACAGACTTCATGTGGAATTGCTATATTAACAATATCCATTTACTGTTCTTACCACCACACTCCTCTCATGTCCTCCAGCCTCTTGACCAGTCTGTCTTCAGCCCTGTTAAGTCAGCCTATCGGAAGGAGCTCGGTTACTTGTCTCAATGGAACGACTCTACCATTATAGGTAAAAGGAACTTCCTGGACTGTTACCAGAAGGCTCGACTTGCTGGTCTATCAGTCTCGAACATCAGAAGTGGTTGGAAGTGGACTGGTCTACACCCTGTGGCGATGGTTAAGCCCCTGATGAACCCTATGGTACTACCTGAGCCTCCTGCTAAGCCCACCACACCCAAACCAACTAGTCAGGGCAGAAAGCGATGCCATAATGGTCAACAAACTACCCCTGTTGAGCCATGGGATTCTGCCTCCTCTGCAGTGGTCTGGTCGACACCCAGGAAGCTGGCAGAGCTCAGCGGTCAACTGCACTTATACACCCAACTCGACAATGATACCAGCACTCAACGGCTGCTATTCAGGAAGGTGAAAAAAGGCTTCACAGAGCAGGCCTGGCAACTGGCAGCTGCCCAGCAGCAACTAGCTCACCTGAGGGCTCAAGTTACCAACGCTGCAGTGAGGAAGAGGAAGACTGTTCAAATCGATCCCAACACGAAGTTCGCGAACATCAGGGATATCCATCGGGCTCAAATCGAAGCGGGTGAAAAGGAGGTTATCACGGCTGAATCCAGCGACTCTGAATGCCCTAGTGAGGCTGGCAGCTGTATTGTAGTGGGTGTGGTTGAGGATCAATAGTTAATAGTAATGAGGAGGTCGGGTTGTGATCCCATCGTTTTTGTGGTGCCAGAAACAGGGGGGTGCCAGGAAGTGGGGGGTTTGACTTATATTGTCCGGTATCATAATGTATTATCATACCATAGGGATGGAAGATCGAGAGATCAACAAGGCAGTGTCTTCAGGTTGTGTTGGCTACTTTGGAATAGAATACGTACCTTGCTTTGGTAGATGATTTATGTATAGAAATTTTGACAATGCTAAACCGACAACAAAGAACAGAGACTCCTCCCTTGTCTCTGTAGAATTCATGCGTGTCAAGCCTTGATGATGTATTTGGTCAATCTGAAAGCCACATCATTCAACCTTGTTGGTTGGGGAGCTTTGTTCTAACTCTTTCGTATGTATGTCAAAGACTACACCTTGGTAATAGATTCGCACATCTGATTTCTCGATTAGTTGATTGTCCTGAGAATATGAAGTCATACAGGGCGGGTGACCCAGGAGCATTGGCAAAAACAAACAATGCGGTCTTTGTGCCCACTTTACCCATGTGAAATCTGACGAAGCACGTGTTCTCACTCTGAACTTTTCCACTCCCTCACGGTCAGTCTATTATCTTCGGGCAGTCTATTTGGAGTCGATGTAATAAACCTCAAGGCGCCCACTTTTGCTTTTCGTTTGCAAGTTCTCATCTTCCATCTCTGCATATCCTACCATTGAGAAAACATTCACCCAATAAGAAGCTTATTTTCAAGACTTGAATACAATCCCCTGTCGACATGAGTTTCCTGTGGGACTCCCTTCACCTCAATCGAGAGTCTACTAAGGCAATCATCAAATACCTCGAAACCACCGTAGCCGAGCAACAGACGTTGGACAAAGACCAACTGGACCTTCTCTCGTACGAATACTGGGATAATGACGAGCCCGAGGAGCCGTACATGGCCTACAAAGAGGGTATGTTCCATCCTGTCAAGCTTGGCGATCAGCTTGGAGATGGGAAGTACACTATCGTGAACAAACTTGGAAACGGTTCCTTCTCGACAGTGTGGCTTGCGCACAACGCCAAGACAGGGAAGAAGGTTGCTGTGAAAATTTGTATTCCCAGAAAAAAAGACTTACCGGCTGAGAATGAGACCGGTATCTCAAAGCTCCTTCAAGAGGACTCGGCCCATCCTGGTCATCGCGTTATAGGCTGCTACGACGACGTTTTCCTTCACCATGGACCCAATGGTACCCACGTATGTCTCGTCAGCGAGCCGACACGTGCCACGATATCGGAGAGCAAGTTCAGAGGATTCGCGTTCCCTACCAATATCGCACGAGCGTTGGCTGCACAAATGGTGCTTGGAGTAGCTTACATTCACTCGAAGCATATTGTGCATGGTGGTAAGTTCTCAGTTCCGAGCAGACTACTTGATTACATGTAAGGCTAACCATGAGGATATTGCTGTAGATCTTCACGGGGGAAATGTGATGCTGGCTATGCTGGACGGCGAGCTTGCTTCTCTGACTGTGGAAGAAATCTACAAGAAGTACGGGAAACCGACGATCTTACCGATTGACCTTTGTGTGGAGTCTACCGACTTTCATGAAAGACATCCATTGCCAGCGAATGCGCCCCCATACATGCTGTGGAAGATGTTTCTCACACAGGACTGCGACGACCTAGAGCTATCGGAAGCACGAGCACAGATCAAGGATTTCGGAGAATCATGGCGACCAGAGCTAGAGACGCGATTTGAACTCAACACACCCGAGAAATATCGAGCCCCCGAAGCGATGGTCGGCAAGAAGCTACAACTACCCATCAGCTATCCTGCTGATGTCTGGGCGCTTGGATGCTTCATCTTCGAGCTTTACGGTAGGATGGACATTTTCGACACATACATTCCTGATTACGATAGTGTCTTTGCCACAATGACCCACTGCATGGGCAAACCCCCGGCAACATGGTGGGACGCCTGGGAAGAGCGCGAGAAGCACCTCGACGACGATTGCAACTATATCAGAGACGGAAAAGCGGAGATAAAGGCTGCAGAGCCAGATACAATCGAAGCACGGTTGCTGAAACGGATCCCTGAACATAGAGGCATGAACACGAATCCCGAAGAGAAGTATATGATATCACAGGAGGAGCTACGGGACCTGGCAGCTATGCTGCAGCGAATCTTCCGCTGGGAGCCCAAAGATAGAGTGACTGCAGAGGAGCTGATCAGTGATCCCTGGATGCAGAAATGGGGTGTTCCGGCGAAGGAAGCCATGGAGGAGGCTTACGAGAAGAGGCGCAAGGAGTACGAGAAGCCCCCGGTCTTGTCGAAATCGGTGGCCGTTGGTTTAGCGGTTAGTGTTTTCGAGAGACTCGTCCGCATTCTGTCTCCAATGTCTCCTTCTTCTTGGTGGCAAAATCTGAAGTGGGCTTTGGGAGATTGAGATGTTAGGCTTGTGTTCGTCCTTGTGCCGTATTTATGCGAGATGGGATATGGCGAAAATTGAGGGAAATGGTGGGAATACCGGCGTTACCTGTAATTTCAGATCAATTAATAAATCGTAGTGAGAACGGCAAGATCAAACATGCTGATTTCAACTCTGTCACCGTACTTGCTGAAGACCATGTAGTGCTTCAACATAAAGGCGATGCTGACCTCAACTCATATTGGTCTGAATCTCACGATGTGTTAAACAGGAGCTCTCGATAATCAAATCAGGGACTGTGCCATCATTGTGCTGGCAAGGCAAGCTTCGTTTCAAAGCGGAATGCATTTTCACTGCAATCTAACCGTGATTGGTGGCTGTATTGGTGAACCGGCCGAACGGCCTAAGTACACTAAACATCCTGCTCGAATTCAATCTCCTCCGTGAGCCGAGCGCGGAATTGCGCCGACATAATAGCTCCTTTTAGACGCAATATGATCCGCGTTCTAGGAGCCGAGACGAACCGATCATCTCATTCCAGCGCACATTTCTCAAAACGCAAACCGAGGTCCTGGGACCGAAAGAATACCTCAAACCCCCACACTTCAGTGAAGCTACGGGAAGGCTGCATTCCTGGCGCATGGCTTGAGGTTTGCGGGGTAATTTAATTAGTAGCAGAGCCAAGTGTCGAAGCGTGTCTTGTCAGGAACTTCTGTCAAAATGGTGCACAAGCGATCCAAAACGCCACATTGTCAACTGTCGCTTTCGACGCAAAGTTGTTCTCAGCCAAATGCAGATGGGGGAAAGCTCCGGGCATCCGGCGGCGTCCGCCTTCGTTCCTAAGTCCGGTTGTCTCTGTCTCATCGGCATCACCCTACATCCACCTGCAGCATCCATCGGACCGAGAGCATCCTGGCCACTCGCTCCAGTCGCACTCTGATATAGAGTCCAACAGGCAAGATGTTCGAATCAGAGAGTCAACCAGGAAGACAGTGTGTGACTACGCAGCAGACAGTATTACTCACACTTCCTGCATCGGCGGACGGAGTGGATCAGAGCCAAGTCCGACCCGGGGCCGGGGTGGAGTTGTGAAGCTGCGATTGAGTATTAACGGGGCAAAATTTTAAGATTTGATGATCCCAGAGTGAGCTCGAGTTCAGTCTCGGGTAACTCCCGCTAAAGCCTCCCGGAGAATAAGAGCTTGCTTACGGGCACCTTCTTTTCGTGGCATATGAGAGGTTCGCTTCGGATACGAGACGCCGTCCACTGTTGACGGCCGTCGTTTGGCATTATTCAGCTTCCCACATGACCCAATGCCCGCTCCGCGTGGCTCTAGCCCTCAGAAGGCTGCACAAACGTGCATACTATTGGGAAGCCGCTTGACTGCTTCGCACCGAGAGGAAACGCGGGGTTCGGGTGGGAGGTCGGGGCGACAAGCAAGGAAGCCAAGCACCCCCAGCAAAGCAGCAAGGGATGATCAATACCCATTGCAAACCCCCATCCCTGCTCGATGCTACCGCTGCCGGTCTACTCCAACCCGGGCCTAGACTCGCGTTGGTGCCGTCCTTTTTGAGGACAGTCTGTGGAGTCGGGAGGATCACCGACCCTGTCCTTGGTATGAGTCGTCGCGCCGAGGTCGGGCGCGAGAGAGAAAAAAAGTAAGTGAGTGAGTGACCTTGCCAGACAGAACCGTCGTCGAGGAAAAAGAATGGGTGACGAAATATAAGCTGACGGCCACCCTGAGAGATCTTCGGATCGGGCTGGTCTCTCCTTCGCTGCACCTTCAAAGTTTCTATCCCTTCTGCTCCCTTGCCGGGTTTGTGTCCGCGAGGCCGTCCTTGTTGGTTGGAGAGTTCTACTTTCGTCCATCTCACCAACACTACAGAGCTATTGAGCTCAATCGACCCCCAAGATGCAGTTCGACAAGGAACACAAGACCGCAGATTCGCCGTCGCGCTCCCTTGAGCATGCGACAGACCTGGATCGACCAGTCTACGGCGACGAAGCACCCATTGAATGCCCTCCTCACACGACGGAGTCGAAGCTCATCACCAAGATCGACTTCCGCGTCATTCCATTCCTGTGTGTCATGTACCTTTTGGCCTTCCTCGGTAAGCTCTCTCTCCCCCGCTCCCAGGCTACGGCGAATCAACCGCAGCCATCATCAGAAGCAATTGCAATTGCATCAATGCTGACCAGAAACTCATCTCACTAGACCGTGTAAACATTGCCAACGCCAATGTCTTTGGTCTGTCAAAAGAGCTCGAGCTAGACGGCACACTGTACAACAACGCGCTCGTCGTCTTCTTCGTGCCCTACATCCTCCTCGAGATTCCTTCCAACATCCTCCTCAAGAAGTTCAAGCCCCATGTCTGGCTCAGCATCAACATGTTTGGCTTCGGCCTCGTCACCATGCTTCAGGGCTTCGTGCAGAACTACGCCGGCCTCTGCACAACGCGCTTCTTCCTCGGTGTCTTTGAGACGGGCATGTTTCCGGGAGGTATGCGACCCCCCAACGCCCTCGATCGATCCCTTGTGTTCACAAAGCTAACCGACGTCTCCTTTTCCAGCGTTCTACCTCATCGGCATGTGGTACCGCCGCCACGAAGCCCAGCGCCGCTATTCCTTCTTCTTCAACAGCACCACCCTTGCCGGCGCATTCGGCGGTCTCCTCGCTGCGGCGATCGGAAAGATGAGCGGCGTTCGCGGTTACGCCGGCTGGCGCTGGATCTTCATCCTCGAGGGCCTCCTAACCGTTGTTGTCAGCGTGTTCTTCTTTTTCTGGCTGCCCGACTTCCCAGAGGACGTGAAGTGGCTCAGCGAAGATGAGAAGGCCTTTGTCTCGGCTCGCTTGCGCGCGGACCAGGGCCGCTCTGCCGTTGAGCGCAAGATCACTTTCCGCGACGCCGGACGCATCTTCAAGGACTACAAGGTCATTGTCGGCGGCTTCATGTACTTCGGCCTGATTGTCCCGGCGTACGGGTATGCCTACTTCGCACCGGGTATCATCCAGACCTACGGATATGACAGCATTCAGACGCAGCTGCACAGCGTACCACCCTGGGTTGTGGCTTTTGGCTTCTCGATGATCATCGCCTTCATCTCGGATAAGACGCGGCACCGGTTCGGTTTCGCGATCTTTGCGATTTGTGTGGCAATGGCCGGTTTCGCCATCTTGATTTCCGTCCACAATAATACGTCTGTCCAGTATGCGGCGCTGTTTCTTGTCGCAATGGGCGCGTACACCGCAATGCCGATGTAAGTCCAACCAGCGCCTTCTGCATGCTCTGCAAAAGGAGTGCTCCTTGCTAACTCTAGCCTTCTAGTATTGTTTGTTGGTTCAACATGAACCTGGGTGGCCACCACCGACGTTCTATCGGCAGTGCTTGGCAGGTTGGCTTCGGCAATATCGGCGGCATCATTGCTGTGTTTGCCTTCCTGAAGAAGGATGCGCCAAAGTATATCCCTGGTTATAGCATCAGCATCGCTTTCGTTATTCTCAGCGGCCTTGCGTGTCTGGTGTATGCCATTGGCTGCTGGTCTGCAAACAAGCACAGAGATCGCACCGCGGCCGAGTCGACGTTGACGGAAGACGAGAAGATGGAGCTCGGAGATATGTCTCCTGATTACAGATATTTGCTATAACCAACTGTCTCAAGATAAAGTAGCAGTTGCCTTGATGGTTGACCTGCATAATGAAAATGATTCCTCAGCATAAATTATGCTTCCGCGCCGCCTCGATGCACCACCAACTCCAGATCTGTCTGGGACCACATGTATCCCGCTCAACTCCTGCAACAACCGACATCCGACCTAAGAGAAAGCTGTGCAACTCCAAGACACTCGTCGTGTTCACTGTTCAAGTCATCCGCGAACCACGTTGTCGCAGTAGAGTTGAAGTGTTGGTCCCTCCCGTATTTTGATCTACATTGCATACGTATTCCCTTACCTTAAGCATTGTGCATATCTCTGCCAGGATGGCTATCAGCTTCCAACAGCTTTCAAATCAACATCATCGCCCACCTCGAGATGTTGAGCACATGCGAAAGCAAGGAACAGATGCGATCACCAACCGGTCACCAACAGATTGGGCATTGTTGGATGTGATCCGCCGGATGGCACACATCCCATTGGGTCATCAGGCGCTCTCCAAGGGGCCGTCATGCCGGGGCATTTAATCAATTCAGGGGGGATTGCATGCGGCGTAACACTGTTGGTCCAACAAACATGCAGAGTTCCCGTTGGTTTTCGCTTCCGCGCCGCGTCCGCCCGCTTTTTCGCGCCCGCCGCCTCAGATGGTCATCAATGAAGAATTTCATGCAAAAGGTGCTGCTTCCTCTTACGTAGATTTCGAGGTCTGGTTTTCCCAGTATCAAACAGCATACAGAGTTGCCGATGTGTTGTGTGAGTCCGCAACTCACCCCAAGCCATCACGATGCTCCCCGAAGCCCTCGTTAGCGTTTACCAGTCGTACAAGACGGACACGGACTTCATCACGACCTGGCTCGCCACCACAGCACGAGCATACGGTTGTCCAGCTGAGCTCATATCAGGGCTTCGGGACACGAAAGACGACAAGCCTGACTCGGCACCGAAAGATGACAAACCATCCGGTCAACGCAAAGCAAAATCAACCAAGGAAGCATCAAAGTCGTCGCAGAAGAAACCTCGCAAACGATACATCCTCGCAGTCAAAGATCTTCTTCCGTTGGCCCAGTTCCTCGCAACATCACAGAAGCGAACCATTGTTCCTCCGAATAGTCTCACCGCCGCTCTCGATAGAGTGATTGAGCTCAGGGCCAAGTTTAGCACCCAACTAACCGAGCCTGGTGCCACGACCAACGATCAAGATGACAGCACCCACTTTTACTTCCTAAGGGTCTTGTGTCAAGTACGCCATGTCTTGACAGCTCATCGGACTGCTTCCCCAACCAACACAGAAGCATCGAGTGGAGATGCTGCTGAGAAGCCGCAGCCATCAGCCAACAAGTTCGAAGGGCTACTTGTGTCTGAGCCATCTGCAGAGTTCATCAATGCCCCAGACGCACCTCCACCAACGAGACCAGCGAAGTCTGTAGCTGATGCCAACTTCGAGGCCGAGAGCGAGATGTCGAGTTGGGACGCTCAGTTCGTATGGCAGCTGGTATGGAAAGACCTTTACGGAGTGCGCCAGAGGATCAGATACATGTGGCAACAGTTCCGCGAAGGACGCCACGAGCTCATCTCCGTTGCATTGGCCACCAACACCGCCATCGACCTCGCCCGCAACCTCGTCGAAGATGTTACGCCAGTACTCCAATCTCAGCCAGGGGGATTATTCGGGGTCATCTGTCTCTACAATGCCACATTCACACCTACAAAAATCCGAAAATACTCGGAAGGTCTGCTTAATTTGCCAGAGAAGCCAACGAAAGAGGAACTTGCGTACGTTGCGGGCGTCATAGACTGCACCAACGTCTACAGCATGTTGAACCAACTCCTTCCAACAGATAAAGGCCCCATCTACCCACCACTGGTCACAAAGGGCAGCCCAAAGATCCGACTAGCGAGGACTCATGGCGACTATGTCATTGACCGGAACACGCTTTCTCATGTTCTCTACGATATGAACTTCATTCTCCATTACATCCCAGATTGGCCAGTGGACGATGGTGTCCTGCGAGGATTCCGAGAAACGACCCGCACGAGGGAGATCCCCTTCTATTTTGTGTATGCGGCCCAACTACTCATTGACATCCATGAGGTCATGGGCAATAACTTGCCGTCCATTCGAGTACAGTTCATGCGAGGGTTGTCGACATTGCAAGAGCTCATGACACAGGCGTGGTACATCCACCAAAGCACAAGAATGGACCCAAAGGCGCTAAGATGCTTCCCGCTCCTCCAGCGTACGGTGCTAAGCATGTCCAAAATGACCCGCGATCCCATTCTCGTCGAAAAACAGCGGCTCAAGAAGCCCATCGCAGATCCCTCTCTGGAACGCCTACGGTTGATGAAGACTGATCCGGTCATGGCTGGTCTGATCATGTACACATTTCGAGCAGCAACGTATCGCGTCGGGATTTGCCTTGCGAACGATACACTATCCGTCATGTCGACTATGCATCTCTACAATGCTTTATATCAAGAAGGTCTGCTCAAATCTAAGTGGTGGGACATAGAGCTCATCAATGAACTGGCCGGCAAGTCCCAGTTCTACGTGGGCAACCCCCCAAGTGATCCGAAAGGATACATCAAGAGTTTCCTTATGCAGACCGGTCTGAAGAGCGTCTACATGAGTCAGCTTCAAAGGTCAAAGACACAGACAAAGCTATTCAAAGAACTCAAGAACAGAAGAAGTATTTCTGAAGGGGCGACTGTTTCTATGATGTTCTACGAAAGGTACTGCAACGAGAAAGGCGAGACCTCGACAGGCAACTGGACCGCTGAAGACATCGTACGCATCCTCGATCACTGTCCGGAGGGTTTATGGTTTGATCACCCCCAACAGGAACCAGAGAGCGAGAACCGGGACAAGTGCTCCAAGAAGTCGACACAAAAGCGGAAGAGGCCTGCAAAGCCCGCCAAACCTAGCCTACCTCCCTACGATATCATCACATCCCTGGGGGTCGGGCTCTTGGACGAAGCAGCAGAGTTTGGGTTTCCCTGGCTAGCCATGCATCGCAACGCATGGTACCTGATGCGTAAGATTCGGATGGCCAGCGAGCGCACCTTCATGATGTTGGTGCCGGGCTACAGCATGTCTGAAGCCGGGCTGATGACTCTTACCACCTACATCCTGGATGTTCTGGTTCATCCTAGGCCTGCCAACTCTTTGGGGAGGCGGGTTCTTGAGGAAGTGGCGGCTACTTTCAATCGCTACCTCACCTATGTCCCGAAAGATCACGGCTGGTCCGCTGGTGAAACGGTATGGAAGGAGATGGAGATCGCTCTCGGTATTGGACTTCATATGTACGACAGGGTTGTTGGTAAAGTCTCCAAGGATGGAGACTCTGAAGAAAGGCTACATCCTGAAATAGTGACAGACATGGCGGTTCCTGTGTGTTGATGTGCCATTGTTTTTGTCTTCGAATATTTCACGTATGGGCTACATGGGTAGAGTCGGTTAAGCAAGCTCGGGATGGTTTTCGAATTAAAGTCTCCTTCTCTCTTTGTCTGTAACTTCAAGGTAGAATTCTCTTCAATATTGCATGGCATTTTGGTCTGAAAAGACTGGCTTCAATCTCGAGCCGTACCTGAGGGGAGTGTTTGTGCCCTCCCTTGATACCAACTTTCAAATGGAACAATTTTATGCACTTCGACGAAGTAACTAAAATGATCAAATAGATTTTGGTTGAAAACTTGAATGAAGCTGTTGGTATCACAGGCGTGATACATTTCCTCATGAGGGTGTATCTTCGGCAACAATCACGTCGATGTCCGTGATAATTGCTGTTGTTTTTCTTCCTATTTACATTGTGGGCAGGGGCCGATTGACGGTTAGTCAGGGTGGCCAGCGGAATATGCATATGTGAGTGAGCAGAAAAGAGCGTCTATTCGTACTAAAGAGTGGATGGAATCACCACAGGCTTGTGGGCCTAGTGCTATCCTAATAAGTCTTGCAGAGCTAGGACCAGGTGGAAATGACAGTCTGGCCTGTTTCGTGATGGTCAGACCATTCCGAATGGGTTATGTCCATGACTCGCGTAGAAGCATGCATGGATTCTGTCACCGATCGAAGTAGGTGGGGACGGCCTGGGTGGTTGCCCCACCTTAACCGGCCGTGATGACTAAGCCGGTTGTCCCACTTCGCCCAGGGCAGGCGCCAGCCAGCCCACGATACCTGCCCATTGCTCCTTATCAGCCTTGCCGTTCCGACAGAAGCTTATTGATTACGTGTGTCCCAAACATCGCCAGATTCTCAGATGAGAATGACACTGTCCAGTTTGCCTGGCTTGGAACAATGCTGCCCCGAGCCCCACTACGTCATGAATTATTCCGCAGCATTTGAACTCCTACACCTCATCCCACAACTCATCTCATCATCCCATTCAACACAAACACAGTTCTACCAAACTACATCGCTTCGTTCATATCGACTTACTCACAATGGCCCTCACACCAGACCCCAAAATTCTCCAACGCTGCGTCGAGCTAGCAAAAGAAGCCCTCGAAGCAGGCGACGATCCCTTCGGCTCCGTGCTCGTGAGCGGAGACGGCAAGATCATCCGCGTAGACCGCAATCGTGTGAACACTGGCGAGAATGGAGACGGGAAACGTGACGGAACGCTGCACCCGGAGTTCACCCTCGCGCGATGGGCGCAACTTAACCTTGGCGCCGAGGAACGGGCCAAGTCTTCGGTGTACACTTCCGGCGAACACTGCCCGATGTGTGCTGCCGCTCACGCCTGGGCTGGACTGGGACCCATCGTCTACGTTTCTTCAAGTGCGCAATTCGCTAGTTGGCTGGAAGAGTTTGGGTTGAAGGCGGGCGGGAAGGTCAAGCCGCTGCCTATCAATGATGTCGCGCCGGGCATTTCGGTGCAGGGTCCAATTCCTGGGCTGGATGAGGAGGTCAAGGCATTGCACAAGAGAAACGTTGAGAAGTCATCACAAATGAGAAGAATGTCGCTCGAGACCTAGTGGGCTGACAGTCAAGACACATGGTACATCTCGCAGATGGGATCCGAGTGGCCTCGAACACCAGGAAGCGAGTAGTACTCGACGCGACAGAAGAGTTCAATGAATAGCATAATAATATTATCATCATCAAGTCAGCCGCAGCGAATTTTAGTGAAGATTGACAGAGTCCAGCACTCCATTCAGCAGACTGAGATTTGACAACTCGACCACTGAGTCCTTAGGACATTCGAATGGCATGGATAGCTCTCAGGCTTCGGGCAACCGCAAGATTCTTGTCTGTCTGACCAGAGTGCCTTCATCGCCAAGGTACCGTCCGCTCTCGTAACTACACGTGGTCAAGGTCAGTGAATCAGTGACATGATCAATGCTTCAAGCTCAACGGAACACGAACCTCCAATGCAGATTGCCAAGCGCGACATCGCGGCAGCCATTGAGGTACCGAACGACCTCTTGGTCGATCTTCTCTCCGCAGATTGGCATCTTCGACAAAGCAAGATACCAATCCCGATAGCATTCGTCAATGGCTTCCTGGGTAGAGTGCCCCTGGGACTTCAACAAGGCGATGAGGTTGTGCTGTACACCTTGTTCCTACAAGTTTCATCGTCAACAATTGGTCGGAATTGAAGCTCGCACTCGACTCACCAAATCTTTGCGATATGACAGGATGTCATTGACACTGTGGAAATTAGCCATCAATCCGCGACGAACAACACTACGCCAACTCACAGAATTACTAGATCAGCCGAGATACGTCTGCACTCTTGCAAGCTCTCGTCTTCTATGACCTCTGAGGGTACATTGATGCCGTGGCAAAATCTTCAGAGTATGCCGTCAGCTCACTATTTGCTTGTCTGTGACACGGCAATGCACTCACTCAACAAGCACATAAGATGGCTGACATCCAATAGTTCCTCTTCGGAATCCCATGTACTCGTCGACAGTCAGGTTCCTGGCTGACTTGGAGGTTTGAACTCCAACTTGACTCAGCAGACCCGAGAAGTAGAATCTAATTGAAGCCTTGTAACGCTTCTGTAACTCTATCGGATTTGTGTCAGTGGCCTAGGGGCTATTCACCTCCGTCATAAGTGTGAGGCGACGGTGGAAAACGTTCAATGCCTTTCGTAGATCTCTGAATGTAGCAACGCATCTGTCAGTAATGCGGTATTGACAAGAATGGAGTGCTTCAGTGCGAAAATGGTAAAGTCGGAAAATTTACCTTCTTGAACCGATCCCAGACAGTCTAAAAGACATAATACCTAATTGGGTTGTCATGCAGTTGGACTGGGGCCTGAGTGTCCTCAAGCACCGCAAAGGTGGCATGCAACTCCTCCACGGCCTTGACAAGGTCGTCTTTCAGATGACCCTCATCAAATTCTATCAAGAGTTAGCGTGTTCAGGAGAAATAACATGGTCATGGTGTACTTACGGTCATCAAAAGCAAAAACCTTGTAGCCGCATTAGCTCAACGTTTTCTGACGGATTAAAGTTGACATACCCAGTTGTTCCAATCGACCATCGTTCGGTATGCCTTCGCATCAGTGTATGGGACCCACATCGCATTCATGAACGCGAAGTTGGCCTGGACGTTTCTTCGAGCTTGAGCTTCACTGAGACGGAGAATTCTGTGACCGATTCAAATCAGCGTTGCGTCAGTGAAAACAGGTTTCACCATCGTTACTAACTTCGCAATCTAACTGTCTGCTTCCTTCTTCACATGTTCATAATTAAGGTTGATGACGGGTTTCACAGACATAATCGAAGAGAAGAAGTCTGGGATGCGGACATAATTGACACTTGATTCGTCAGAATTAATGCCAAGGTGGACCTGTATATCCAATGTGCTTCCCTCTTTCGAGGATACAGTGAAAGCCCGAGATGAAGACAGCGAGTCTGTCAAAGTTGAAAATAAAGAGACTGGAGAGCCTGGAGACATCGCTGACTCTCCGTCATCTTCAACGTCGATGTGGAAAGGATTCACTAGACTCTTTTCGGACATGTTGTTGGATGCGTCGTCAGAGTCGTTTTCAACGCCGGTTCGGTGGTTTCCGAAGAGAAAAGACTCTGGTGAAATCATGATGTCTTTAATAAAGATGTCTTAGTATGGAGTGAATGTTGTAGTCAGGCTTAAAAGAAGCTTGAAGGACTGAAGATAGAGTAAAACAGTCAACGACGAAGGACGGAACACGCTGCTTTTCAGCTCTTTCAGAGATATCCACCCTGTTCGCCCGGTTGGTTCATCAGTTCAAGCGACATTTGAAGATGCCCAACATCATCCTCCGATCTATCCCATCGTGACGACTTGGCCATGGGTCTTCAAGAACTTGTCGTGCGGTATCGCTGCTAGCCTCTACGAGGGGGTCGTCCACCCCGGTTCCTTTTGCCTCCACATGAACATTCACCACACCAAAAGATACTTGTGACTGCCGCAAAACCTCATCTCAGCAAGAAAAGAATTTTCTTGAACGTGGAGTAACAATTCGTCATGGTGGAAGTCTCTATCGGTGACTCCGTCAGTGAGAAGCCTCACTTTAGACAAAGTCTCGGAAATGTCAACTGGTTGTGAGTGCCTTCAGCTTCTAGTTAAGCAAACATGTCTCAGCTTCTCACGAGTTGTCGCTCCCTAGCATGGCTACCATGCTAGTCTCATTCATTCAAAAAGTAAGTTCCATTTCATTTCGACTTGTTCGACTCCGTGATCCAAAAAGAAAGGCGCACACCGAAGAACACATAAGCTGGAAAGTGGGCTTTCTCAAAGAGCAAGATGGCAAGCCACATTGAGTCGATCCTGCGGATGAAAGCTCAAAATCAATAAGTGCATGAATTTTATTAGCTTCAGATTGTTTCCAGGTCTGAACGGTCTAGCTTCTCATTACCTGCTATGTCTGTCTAAGAGAAGGTACGTGTACAGATTAATGACGCATTCAACTGCGGGCTGTCCAAGATAGCCAAATATAATATCCCGCCGGTAAGACGACTTCTGAATGTTTCAAGCGAAGTAATATCCCATATTTCAACCCATCATGTAAGTTCTTACAGAAGCAGAGTCTCGCAATTGACGCCTTCAAGAACTCAGTCTATTAAGGACCAAGTGACGTCTGTCAGAGCCCTCCCGGATAGGGGCTAGTTAGAGGTAGTAAGGAGTCCAAGCAACAAAGGAGCAGCTCAGATATATATACAGCGCAGGGAGTACACGTCGGGGGAGGAGCAGATTTCAGTAATTCATCATTCTACCCCTAACTGCAGTTGGCCTCTGAGAGCTTCCACCCTGCGTCAACAACCCCAACTTGACAACGTCTGCCTCTGCCTCGAAGTTATGGGAAAGTTGCTCAGAGAAATTTAGGAGTCTATGCCTGCTGCTTCAAGCTTTCATGGAATGTCAGTTGCGAGACATAACATATCGAGTCTCGTCTTTTGGTCCTCGTTGGCGCACGCAAAGTCCTAGCATCATCTCATCATCGCTTGCAGGTGTCCAACAAATGGCTTGCCCAACGAGTGTGTAAGCCACCAGAGGTATCATTCTTCAAGTATAATCCCTGTTCAATTACCAGGTACCGGGAATCGAATCAATCAACTTCATGTTGGTTCAACCGGTCATGACCCGCTTCGCAATGATGACAGTAGACAGGGGCGCTATCGGCCTTCTTCCGAGCTGGGAAAAGCGATCCTCGTCGACGAAAAGTCAAACGCCACAGGCAGAAAACTCCACAGGTGTTTGCTTTGTGGCGCCAGCTGAGGTAGGTTTACATGGGTGTTCTACTAGTCGATAATTACTGATTAGAGTGATGCCCCGAACCTTCCGACTGGATACTGCATATTGCGGATAATCGGCCCACACCAGATTGGGCGTCTTGTTTGCTTGCTCAACGTGGAACGCACCCAATCATTCTCATACACGTTGCCATCCCTCCGGATGCCTTGCTAGATATGTATTGTAGAGCGGTTGAATCGTCTTACAGGATGCCTCCGCCCTGCGGGAACTGGGCAGGCTTTCCAATGACCGCTGGGTACATGACCCGTGGCATGGAGGAGTTCGCCAAGTTGCCAAACATTCCTTGGCCAGCTACGCCGCGTGACCGCCTCCGCGTGACAGGGAGCGCTTAAATGTGGTAGCAAACAATGGTGATCTTTCTCCAGTTGTTTTGTTGAACATCTACAGACTACGCGGTCCACAAGCTCAACACCGTCAATTTGATACATGGTGTTCGAATCAACACCTCAAGTTTGTCTCATCGTCTTACCTGAAAATTAATAGACTCAAGTATTGTAGTAGGGTTATGCCCTCAAAGATCCATCGAAAGATAAGAGAACTTCAGGATATCACTTGACTTTAGAAATAAGTCCCGCGCCATCATCTGGGTCATGCTCAGGAGGAGTCTTCCGAGGATCAACCTTATTGAGCTATCTGCTTCTTTTTTCCGACGATGGCTCTGTTTCAATTGCGCGAGATTCTCTGTTCGCCAAGCATTCTTGCCCTGTGCTTCTCTATTCATGTCATTGGTGGTGTGTTCTACAGGCTCATCTTGCACCCGCTTAGAAAGATTCCTGGCCCGTGGTACGCTGCAGCAACATACTGGTACGAATTCTACCAAGATGTGATTCTCAACGGCAACTACGTGAAGGAGTACCCTGATCTTCACGCCAAGTACGGTGAGTGAAATACCCGCGATACGTACATGCGTTCTTGGCTGTGTCGTCCATGCTGATGCATCCTTCAGGCCCAGTCGTCCGGGTGTCTCCTAGTCGTGTGCATGTCAGTGATCCAGATTACTTCAGGGAGTGAGTTGAGCTCTATTCGTGAGCTAAAATCCAAGGAACGTCTCACTGATGTGGCTTTCCAGGCCTTACGGAAGTGGCACGAAATACACCAAGGATCCCGACTTCTTCCAGAGCGCGGGTGGCATTAAGTACTCCATCATCATGTTGATTGATCCCGAGGTTCACAAAGAACGAAAGAATACGGTTCAATCCCTCTTCTCGACCAAGCATGTGGACCACCTGGCGCCTGTCGCTTTAGATATTGTGCAGAGAGCCATGGCAAAAGCACAGCGCGCCTTCGAGAACGACCAGTCGATCAACTTACAACCATTTTACCAATGCATTACTGTAGGTTGCTTCTCAACTCGTTCAACTGATCACAACATCCACCTCCGGGATGTTCTCTAATATGACTGCAAGGCTGAGTGCTGAACTTCTTCTAGGTTGACACCATCATGCCTGTTCTATTCGACAGACAATTGAACTTTGTTGATTCTGACGAAGACGAGCCACCGTTTTTGAGCATGCTAGCCAAGTTCGTCGACCAATTCTTTCTAACCAAGCACTTTCCCATGATCAGCCACATCGCTATGAGTCTACCCCTCAGTGTAGCAAGGATAATTTTGCCGGATTACGTCGTTTTTCGAGAGGTGAGTGCAGTCATTGCAAGATGTGGTCAAACATCAGAAGGCATCCTAGGCCTGAGCTAACCTTCAAGTAGCAATGCACCACGTGGATCAAAGAAGACGAGGAGAAACAGCGAAGCGGCAAAACGACTACGGATGACGGCCGTAACACCTATTTCGGTCTTCTCCTAGAGGCAGAAAAGACCAAAGTGTCTCACAAGCTCAGCCAAGACGCACTCGTCGACGAAGCACTGTCTGTGTGTTTTGCCGGCACTGATACGAACAGCATTGCTCTTAGCTTTGGCACATACTTCTTGCTGAGGAACCCGGATAAGCTTGAGAAGATGCTGGAAGAGTTGAAAGACGCTCCTACGAATACTGATGGTCTCTATGAGTACCAAACTGTTTCGAAACTGCCATACCTTGTAAGTGCGAGAACATTTGAAAGGAAGATTGGGTTTCACATGCTGATTCTCCATGTTTCTAGACCGCAGTCATCAAGGAGATACTTCGTCTCGGATCTCCAGTACCTGGCATCATTCCGCGCAGAGTCCCTGCTGGCGGCGCTGCCGTCGGAGGACATTTTCTTCCAGAAGGCGTAAGTGACAGATTGGATTAGCTATACACTATGTTATGTCACTGACTCAGTCTTTCTCCAAGACTACCGTTTCGCAGGCCCTTCGTATGATCCATGACAACCCAGACGTGTACCCGGAGCCCGAGAACTTCGTCCCTGAGAGATGGCTTGGTAAAGCCGGCTGGGAACTGGAGAAATACTATGTGCCATTCAGCAAAGGCCCACGAGCTTGCATAGGCTTGAAGTAAGTTTACATACGCTCGAACTCGTCGGGAGAAAGCCAGGCCTAACTTGAAATAGTATCGCATATCTCGAACTTTACCTCTGTTTTGCAAACCTCTTCAGCCGCTTCGAGATGGAATTATACGAGACGAATGAGAGCACCTTCAAGTGGGTAGACAATGGCGTTTCAAGGCTTTTGAATCCAATTAGAGTCAAGATCAAGTCAATTAGGGGGGTCGGTGAGTGATTTCAGGGTGGCAATTGCGTTTTCCTAGATATTTAAACCAAGTCTGTTCCATACTAGTAGTACATGTAGACACTAGATGCATTGCCAACTATCCGGCTTCGAGGGGTCTCCCTGCCCCTTGAACACGTTTCGCGTGGGATATTTACAATGCCTCCTCTGCAGATCGACCTCCCCGGAGGCCGTCAAGCGGCTACCAAGAATGAACTCGGGTGCCACGCCCTCCTCAACCCAGCGAACGATTGCCGCCAATACGTTAGCATCTGGGTCATACGAGGCGAAAGTCTCCGGGTTGCCGCCAATCATGCTAGCTCCAGTACCATCGCGACAATGCGCCATGCCAGAGATTCTGAAATACCGGTAAAAGTCGTCCAGCTCCTTTGAGGGAAGGTTCATGGTACGTGACACATGGTTGTAGTACCTCTCTGAGTTGTCACTGCTGATCGCATTGTCCTGCATGCCGTGGTAATGCAGGACCTTGACTCCACGATCCTTAGCTGCGGATAAGTCGCCTTCCCAAGTTGACACCTTCCATGGATCTTGCTTCGAAGCCACTGCGTAATCCTCCGGTGTCATTGTCGAGAGATCCCATTTGATATCGTTGTAGACGACATATCGCCACCAGTCCAGGGGATATTGATGGGGCTGTCCGTTGAGAAGCCGAGCAGTCGCATTGGACCCAGGTTGCAGCCGAGGGAAGATGTACTGTCCATCCAAGCCATAAACTGGAGAAAAGATGGCCCGCACAGTAGCTGCTTGCTCTCCGCTCAGACAGCCATCCGTGGAGCCCTCGGCGCAGATGAGGCCTTCGGGTCTGTATTGACACAAGCTCGGGTCTTCGAGAATGCCGTCTTCAAGACCGTCCAATCCATCGCATTGCTTGAAGACATCTGCATACACCAACTCCCACTCCGCGGGAGAAAGAAATCGCGAGGTCTCATTAGTCCCTGTCTTGAGGAAAAGCTGCCCGGTCCAGTACATGAGTGCAATCAGGTCGAAAGCAGGAGCGCCTGCGACGATGCCATCATAGTCCTCCGGAAAGCTCTGGGCCTCCTTGAACCCCTGTCTACCGCCCGTAGAACAGCCCAGGTAGTACGACTTGGTGTGCTCTTTGCCGTAGTATTGCTGGGCAATCTCTTTACCCAACTGAGCTTCAAGGTGTACGGCGCGGTAGACATAATCCTCAATCACCCCGGGGTTGTTGAGGAAGGGGGCACCAGACGTTCCGTCGTGGCCATTGTTGGTGCCAATTGTGGCGAACTGATGTGTGGCCCCGTAGTTGAGGTCGCCGTATTGGATGCATCCGTTCATACCGCCATTGCCAGTACCCAAGAAACGGCCGCTCCATTCTGATGGAAGCCAAGCTTCAAGGGAGATGTTGCTTGTCGGACCGGTGGTAGTGACAAAGACAACCCGACAGATATCCACGCTGGAAACTTGAAAGGGGATTGCGCATGATGGGTGATTGTCAGGGAGCGAAATGTTTGTCCCTGTTGCGATGAATGTGGTCTCGTGGATTATCGTATTGGGAAGATTAAGACGGCTCGCAAAGGATGCGCAATCCTCGGGAGTGACAGCTTGGGCTGACCCAACCCCCAACAGAAATTGAAACACTGAAGAACGAGAACTTCTCATGGCTGCAATTACTGATCCGACAATGTCTACATCTTGTATAAGGAGGGCAACTTCAAGGATTACTTATTGCCATCTTCTTCGTGTGCCTCGGACAGTGTTACTCACTCATATCGCTATCCTGAACTACCGTGACCTGCTACCGCGCTTATCCGCAGTCCTCGAGGAAATCCGCTCTCGTGCTTGTAGCCAGTCTCCTGGGTCAGAATCCCCGCAGACGGATAAAGAATCGGTTGGTTGTGTCGTCTCTGCAGAGCTGCTAGATTGACAAGCCATGGGGCAACGGAGCAATAGAGTCGATCACCTGCCGTACCAGGCTAAGGATAGTCTAGGGTAGCTTGACAGCTGGTGAGGAAGAGTTACTTCTTCAGAGGGGCTGTTGCCGCTGTTCAAATTAGAGACGCGGGGTAACCAGCCATTTCCCTGCAAAACGACAACCGGATTCTTGCGCTCTAGTCAGTAGCTCAGCGTTATCGGACGACTACTGACTCTTTTTGGTGATCAAATACCTCTTGCCAGAGATGCCATGAAGTCTTTTCGGCTCCAAGATGATACAGGTAGGCTTCGGACATAGTGAATCTTTCCAGTCTGCCCCGCTCGGCTCTTGATCCGACGGAGGACTTACGAACCCCGTTCGGATACCAATGCCGCCACGATCGTGCCGGCACAAACAGGGAGAGAGAAAACCAGTCACCCGGCCTTACTGTTCCGCAACTGAACACTGATAATAATTCAGTGCAGGCTGTAGACTTTGATAAACTCCATCGAAGGCGGCGCTGACTCAATATGAACCTGCTAGCTATTGGTACCTATGCCATTCAGTTTAGTATTCCAACTCGTCTAATTCCGTGTTCTTTGTACACCCTTTTCAAACTCCTCCTTGTCCCCTGCCAGGTAGAGCGCCCCGGCTCTCTTTTCAAGCTCCCAATGCCCCGTTGAGACTCTACATCACCGTCGTCTTCAGAGGAAGCTGACTCTTCGTCACCCTCGTAATCACCATCTTTGCAGTCCTCGTCAGTCGGGTAATCACTGCGATAGCCCCCCTCGTTAGCGTTGGCGTCCCCCTCGATAGCATCCACCACGAATTCGACTCTCCTCCATGGCGTCTCTAGAGCTGTGCAATCCTGACACCTAAAGTTCGGCTGGTTGTCTCTCAGATATATTTTGTCGCAAGCAGGTCGCGGGACTCGTGCATGAACGTATTCGCACTTGGTGAGTTTGCGGTCAAAGGGGATGCCGCAGCTGGAGCATTTGTTGTCGTACCAGACAAAATGACACATGGTGGCTAATTCTTTGCGTTTGTAAGTCTGGAGGATGTCTCGCAAGAATCAATTGATAACGAGCCTGAGTTTTGGAACAGGAATTGTGGACTTATTGCCCTCTGCTGGATGGTTGTGTGTGAGAAAGTCAAGAAAGGAACCATTGAAATGCGGTCAGTCGCTGGCATTTAAACTTCTGTTCTTCCTCATGGATAATTCCACTGAACCACAAGTTTACAACCACGTGTGTGACTCAGGTGAATAATGAACTCCTATCAAAGTCGGTGACTCCTCCTTTCATCTCAAGTGTGTCCAGTAGTAGGCGGAAGCCAAAGCTCGGCTTCCATTCACTCTTCACATCAAAAGAAAAGCCACGACCTGCGGCAGTATAAATAGAATCTCTTTGTTCAACTCTCGATCGCCTCGGAGTCTAATTCAAGAAACAAAGTTTCAAAAACCAAAGAACAAGGCATTGTCTTGCGCCTCTCAAACCTTGAACTAAAGCACAGAACCAACCCCCACGAACACAGCGGCCCTTTCGCACGAGGTTCACAACAAATATCTCCATACTACATATGCCATTGTATCCAACAAGAAACAATACCCTCTGCAGGCTAATAAATCATCTCCAGCCATGTGTCGCCGCTTTCAACACGGCCTCCTCTGCACCAACTGCAGCCTCGCATACAGAACAATACTAGGCGAATTCCGGCAATGCCAATGGTACCACCGCCGACGCTGTGTAGTAACGAGGGTACCTGCCAGTCCACTTAGAAGAGGGCTTTGCCATCAGTGCATGCCTCTGGTCCGCGAAAGACACCACCCTCAATGTCAGGATATTTGCTGCCGCGAGCGTGGACGGAGAGGTGGATTATCATAGACGCTACAGTTCCACAGCATGATTAGGAAGTTAGACTTGAGGGACATCTTGGGGTGGGATGGAAATAGAGGACAGCAGTTGACCATCTCCAACTTCCCTCTCGCCTAATTTTTCTTGGCATCTACTGTTAGTGTAATAAGTGGGCTACCACCAAAATGCTTAACAGCTGAAAACCCTTCACCTCTCCTCCGGCGCCCTCCCGCGATGGCCTCGCAGCCTCCGGCGGGCTCTGGACCGTTGCCGGCCTCCTTGGCCGGCCCTGATCGAGGCTCTGGACCCTCTTCAGAGCCGCCTCTATCCTCAAGGGCTAAACGCCGCCGCGAAACCGAGGCCCAGCCACTCCGGCCCAGCCTCGTGGGAAGCCAGCCCGACGCTCCAACAACAACCCCCTTAATGGCTAAGGGGCCCTCGATTATGACTAGGACAGCTACTGGAGCTGTCCTTATAGCTCTTAATTAAGAGGCTAAGCACTATGAAGCCCGAAAGGACGTCTTTATGGCTATTACTTAGTCTGTAGATAACGTGATCTCTTGCTTTGAGGGGCCTAGGAAGCAGATTACAAAAGAAACTATAACCTATGTAATCCAAGCTTTGAAGAGGATTATAGGTAACGAGATTACGGCTCCGGCTCCGAGCCGGAAATGGACCGACGTAGTAGCCTCGGCTTCAACTACAGCCGTGGCCGTAGCCCCGACCCGTACCCGAATCCCCACCCGGCCCGAAGTCCAGACACAGAGTCTGACGGAGACCCAGGCCCAGACTCTATCCCAACCGAAGGAGGACCTCCGGGTCTTTACCCGTATCCCAGAAGAGGGCCTAGCGGCTACTAGGAAGCACGCCCCCTTCGCCCTACGCCGGACAGTCTGCCAGGCCCTTAGGCTCCAGCTGGCAGATATCCCACACATCTACCATATTGCAACTGGCTACTCACTGAGACCCCTGAAAAAGCAGGTCCAGCAAGCCCTCCTTGCAAACAAACAGAAACTAGCAGAGTGTCTTGGAGCCTATAAGGTTGAGACCGCTACTAAGTGGTTTACCTACGTCGTCCCACGTTGCCCTGCTAAGATGTGGACTCTTGATGGCGACGCCCTTGACCCAGCTACTCTGGTAGAAGATGAGGTCCTTGCCCAAACAGGACGTAAGCCTACCCGGGCCCAGCAGTCCCGGCTAGGTATAAACCCTATTATAAACGAAATCTCCTGGGTCATCTCCTTCTCTGTGGAAGTACCACCCTTCAGACTGTTTAACCAAAGCAGCAGGTCTCAGCTTATCCAAAAGAAGAAGACCCTAATCAGACATGATCCTGGATGCCAGGGATATCATTCGAACCGATACTGTCACCGACAGCCACTCTGTAGCAACTGTAGCAGGCCCTCGGGATCCCACGAGACTGGGCCCTGCATAGCTAGACCGAAGTGCGCCAACTGCTCCGGCCCCTTCCAAGCTAACCATAAGGACTGTCCAGCAAGGCCCCTAGTGGTTAATGGCTCCCCTACCCTCCCAGACCGGAAGGAACTCTCCCGGATCCGTAAGGCTGGTCAGAAGGCCTATGAGGCCCTCTATCAGAGCAGCCAAGCTGGCACCCAAGCCAGCAACACCCAGCAACCTAGCAACAGCCTAACGAGTCATCAGCCCGGCTCAAAGCGCCCACGCGCCCCTACCCCTACCCAGGACTCAATTGTTGTAGCGGACGTTAGTGATGCGGCTAGCTGTAGCAGCATGGATGAAGATGAGAATGGGGCTGAAGCAGAAGGGCTGCAAGCCCCTGACGACCCAGTCCTACCCCCCCTACCCAGCCAACCTACTCTAGCTACCACAAGCAGCAGGGCCCAGCGGGTGGCGCAGAAGCCTGATTACAACGTTATTAATGCCTACACCCACCTCGACCTCGACTCAGAGCAGTAGGCTCAGGCCAGCCTCCCCACGGGTACTACGAGTCGCCCAGTGTAACGTGGGGAAGAGAAGCCCAGCTCATACAGCTCTCCTAGAGCTCTGCTGGGCGGATCAGATCGATATAGTACTGATCCAGGAGCCCTGGATAGGCTATAGAGATAAGATGCAAATCAACACACACCCAGGCTATAACTCCTATATACCAGTTAACTTCTGGAACAACAGAGATACAAGACCTAGGGTTATGACCTATATACGCAAGAGTCTAAGACTACAAATACAGCAACAAAGGCCTACCCAAACGAGAGATATCTTATAGGTTAAGGCTGGCAACTTCACTATTATCAACGTATATAGGCCGCCAGGTGAGCCGACAAACCACACGACTACTGCTCTCCTAGGATACTATCCGCCAGAAAGAGCCCTTATAGCAGGGGACTTTAACGCCCGCCACCCTATCTGGGAACCAGGCTCCCCTAGCCGGAATCGGGGGGACGATATTGCAGAGTGGGCTGAAGGCTACGATCTTTCGTTTATTGGGGAGGTTGGGGTCCCTACCCATACTCATAGGCATACCCTCGACCTAACATTCTCAAATATCCCCTTTGCTGAGGCTTATATTAGCCCACACCTGCACCCAGGGGCTGACCACCAAGCTATCACAACAACTATCCCTATAGGCAAGGCCCAGGAACAGAAACGCCAGACTGGCCACCTCTCAGTCCCAGAGTCAGCCCTACCCCGACTTATCGACCTAGTAAGAGCTGGATCCTCAGCCTTACCTACCCTAGGGGAAGTGCCTAGTCCAGCAGAGCTGGACACTCTAGCTACCCAACTAGTCAGCCTCTTCTATACAGCTATTCAAGCTGTAGGTAAGAGACGGACAAATCAGGGTAGGGGAGCCCCCTGGTGGACAGAAGAGTGTGCAGAAGCCCACCGAGCTGCTATCGAGGCTAGGCGCCAGCAGGCCCAGGAACCTGGGCTAGTTATACCTCCCCCCATCCTAGAGGAGCAAAAGATCTTCTTAACAACTGTTAGAAGGGCAAAACGCGCTTACTGGACTACTAAGATCGAAGGGGCTAAGACAGACCAAGACCTGTATAAGATAGTAGGCTGGCGGAAGTCTAGCTTAGCTGTTAAAGGCCCGCCCTTATAGTAGAAGGTCAGATATTCGACAACAGCTACGATAAAGCCCAGGTCCTACGAAAGGCCTTACTAGAGAGATTCAACGCTACAGACGACTTACCTGGGGATCCTTTCCTATCCCAGTAGTTGCACAGCGTCTAATGCCCTGGCAGGATGTGGTTAGCATGGAAGAAGTACGCCATGCTACTCTGACAAAGACTACAACCCCTGGGATTGACGGGATTACTACAAATTTACTACAGCAGACCTGGGAATCAGTAGCTAGGCCTATACAGCAGCTCTTCCAGGCCTGTATTCAAGTAGGCCACTTCCCCAGACCGTTCCGCAAAGCAGAAGTTGTCATGACCAGAAGCCAGGGAAAACAGACTTCTCGAAGACTGGGTCTTGGCGACCGATATCCCTTTTATCCTGCTTGGGTAAAGGCCTAGAGCGGCTAATAGCAAAAAGGATGGCCTACCTTACTATCCTAGAAGGGGTTGCTAGCCCGCAGCAGGTTGGAGCACTACCAGGGAGGGCTGCAGTCGACCTAACAGCCTGTCTGACCCACGAGATCGAGAGGGCTCTAGACTTAGGGCTCACTGCAACTCTTGTAACAATGGACGTTAAAGGGGCTTTTGACTCTGTCCTAAGAAACCGACTTGTTATCAGGCTACGACAGCAGGGCTGGCCTAAGCATCTGATTAGGCTGATCTTCACCTTTACCTCTAGCCGAGCAGCCAGGTCAGGCTAGAGGATACAACTACAGAGGATTTCCCTCTATCCTGTGGGCTACCACAAGGCTCCCCACTATCTCCTATTATCTTTCTATTATATATAGCTGATATCCTAGCCGACGATCAGAAGCTACGGTTCGGCTATGCGGATGATATAGGTTTAGTAGCTACTAGCCCATCGCTAAAAGAAAATGCTATAGCTCTAGGCCAAGAGATCACTCATATACTTAACTGGGGCACTGATAACAAGGTTGCTTTTGACCCAGCTAAGTGTGAGGCAGTCCACTTCAGCAGGAAACATAAACAGACAAAAGACCTACCAGATATACAAGCGAGGGGCCTAACTATCAAGGCCTCAGCTAGGCCTGTACGATGGCTAGGAGTCTGGTTTGACAAGAGACTCACCTTCCGTCACCATGTCGAAACTAAGGTGGCGGCAGCAAGGAAGGTAGCCCAGTTCCTTCGGCACCTAACAAATACTAAAGGGGGGCTCCCAGCAGCCGCAGTACGAAAAGCGGTTATTGCCTGTGTCCTTCCAACAGCCCTATATGGAGTTGAGACCTGGTATGCGGGCATAACCAAACCAGCCCTAAACAGCGGCACCAATACTAGCAGTAGTACTGCTTTACAGATAGCTACAGTTGGTACA